AATTTTCCAAAATATCGATATTAAAATTTATGACTTTCAAAAGCTACTTTTCGAAGTTTTCGAAACGCATGAAAATCAGATTCTCACCGATTCAGGGGAACCGCCTCGATATCGGGGATCCGGAATCCGGGCTGTGTTTTCAGACAGAAAACCGTGATTGCTGTTATTAACACAACAACGGAGATGAAGGCGATTATCTAAAGTGAACCTTAGAGTCGAGATGGGCGTAAAAACTTACCTTCGCTGCCGTGCTAGACGAGGGCTCGTCAAAAAGCCTCCAGATTTTCGGCTTCAGGACCTGCCACTTGCTGAGGCTGTTGTTGTGGTAGTCGTCCTCCCAGCCGAAGCGCTTGTAGAGTTCCTAAAGGGTTTTTTGAGGCATAGAGCGAGAGAGAGAGAGAGAGAGAGAGAGAGAGAGATACAGGGTGTCCCAAAAACCCCCCCCTCTAGCGGTGCCCAGACGTGTCCGATTCTCGCCGTTTAGGTATCTATCGAAAGCTCTCGAAAAGGCGAGAAAACAAGGAGGGTTCATTTTCTTTATTATGTATTTTTATTGGCGAATTTTACCTCCAAAAACCATGAAAACGGCAGATTTACGCGAGATCTGCATGCTAATTGCGAAATTCCTATTGAAAAGCTGTTTGTTTTTTAGAAAAACGTTGAATATCGGACGAATAAGAATAAATCTTAGAAAATGAAGCCCGCTTGTTTTCTCGCCTTTTCGCGGGCTTTCGAATGGTATAAAAATTATACGATCCTGATCTGAGCTTCCCACGGACCGCTAGAGAGGGGGGGGGTTTTTTGGGACACCCTGTAGGGTGAGCTAGAATGCGAAAGCAAAACCCACCGGTCCATCGATCTTGTCGGAGGTGTCAATATCTAATTTGTCTAGCGTTGATAGGACCTAAAAATTTAATTTAAGTCTTCATTAAATAGATTTATTTTACTTCCTGTGTATCTCGCGTCGCTGATAATGTCATCCAACAGCACGGCTCGCAATCACTCGAATCCAGACCCCAATACTGGAAAATCGTAGAAAAATGGCTAAAATGTTCACTGCTAGCCTGCCCTCTCCTCTTCCTCAACAATCTCTGCTAGCCTGTCCTCTCCTCCTCCTCAACAATCTCTGCTAGCCTGCCCTCTCCTCTTCCTCAACAATCTCTGCTAGCCTGCCCTCTCCTCTTCCTCAACAATCTCTGCTAGCCAGCCCTCTCCTCTTCCTCAACAATCTCTGCTAGCCTCACCTTTAATTCTTCCTCAAATAATGGCCCGCATACATCAAGTGGATAGTGAAGTTTACCCGTTCTGAAATTTGAAAATTCGAGTATAATGTTTGTGAAAGCGTAACTTTCTTACCTATAATAATTCAATACTTGTGCAAACACCCCGGGATGTCGATCAAAAAAATATTCATTTAGGACGGGGTCGTAGTTGGCCAGGCTGGTGGTTAATCGGGATAACCTGAAACGGATCGTAGAGGTCACAAGGTCATGCGTATTACTTACCTAGTAGCAGGGATCTTCTTTAGGGTATGTTTATACGTTTCATGCCGAACGCCTCCGACATTCAGTATTATCCGGTACTCGCTGTCCATCACCCCGTTTGTTCTGAAAATAGATGCATTAATTTTAAACCTTAAGAACTGCTGAATTCATGGCAGGCTAGCAGAGGTTGTTGAGGAAGAGGAGAGGGCAGGCTAGCAGAGATTGTTGAGGAAGAGGAGAGGGCAGGCTAGCAGAGATTGTTGAGGAAGAGGAGAGGGCAGGCTAGCAGAGATTGTTGAGGAAGAGGAGAGGGCAGGCTAGCAGAGATTGTTGAGGAAGAGGAGAGGGCAGGCTAGCAGAGATTGTTGAGGAAGAGGGAGAGGGCAGGCTAGCAGAGATTGTTGAGGAAGAGGAGAGGGCAGGCTAGCAGAGATTGTTGAGGAAGAGGAGAGGGCAGGCTAGCAGAGATTGTTGAGGAAGAGGCGGGCTGACCGGTTTTTCAAAACGCTTGACTTTTGGCTGCAGCCCGCAGCCAGGGAAAGGCGAAAAGAAAAATTAATTTGCGACCGCTGCCCCTTTTTATGGGGGCGCCCTAATAATTTGGGTTGGTTGAGCGGTTGGCCGGGTTTTTTGTATGTGTGTGTGCCGCCAAATTGGCTGCACCCAAAATGATTGCAACGATAAATTGGGTAACAGGATTTATTGAGAAAACGGTTTCTGATTCTGAAGGTGCTGATCTACGGTATGACCGGGTAGCGCTTGGGTATATAGAATTTGAGGGGGCTCTCGTAGTATAAACATTTTAACATGACTAAACTCTGTTCAATGCAAGCAAGTAGTAAAATTACGTCGTGATATCGACAAAAATTGCAGCGCTTTTCCTGGGTCGTTTAATTCTTTTTCTGTCTTCCACACCGATGCCACGCTAATTCCGCCGAGATTTGCGTGTGAGTGTTTGGTCGGGTGGGTCGGGGGGAAATCGGGAGTGGAATTCGTAGAGAATGGAAGCGAGTAAGGGGTATTCACTGGGTTCAAAAATACCCCAAGGAAGTAGGGAGTTATAAAGGAACGACAAAAACCGAAGCCTGAGCTAAAGCCTAACTGAAGCCTAAGCCTAGCCTAAGACTGAGCCTGAGCCTAAGCCTAGTCTAGCCCACGCCTATTCCTAAGCCTAAACCTTAGCCTAATCCTAAGCCCAAGGAGCATCTTTTTTAGCATCCACACTTAATTTACTCCAAAATGCATGTAATTTATGCCAACTCTTAGCTCTAAAAAGCATAGTGCAGGGGTAAATACTTAATCCACCCTTTCCAACTTCCTCAGATGATGCCACTCAAATGTATGTGGTGGCCTCGGCCCCCCAAAAACCTCTAACGGCCCTTAGTTGGGGTGGTGGAGTGGAAATAGAGAACAGAAAAGAACGGGAGGAGGAGGAGGAGGAGAAGCCTCCTCCTCCCCTCGACTCGTCCATATCAATGGGCCGGAAAAAAGCTAAAGAGCTGAATGAATTATCCTGCGCTTCTGCCGGAGCGGCGCTGCCCTCCCTCACCTCTCCCGCCGCAACGAGCAAATTATCCTGGGACCCCGGGTTGGGTGGACTCACCCCAAATTTGTTTTTTCGTCTGGAAGTGGTACTGTAACTCTTGAATTAGGCTTGGCTTAAGCTTAGGATTAGGCTTAGGCTTAGGCTTAGGCTTAGGCTTACGCTTAGGCTTAGGCTTATGACTTCCTTCTTAAAAATACAGCCATACGGAGCGGCGCCACATCAAATTACAGGAAGTAGCGCGACAAATTGCCGAAACCAGATGCCAAAGTGAACAAATATGGCAGAGTACGGAGTCGTCGGGCGGAATCGCCCAAATTTTAGGTGGCAAGCAAAAGAATTGCTCTTTTAAAGGAGCATGGAAGATTTTCATGCTCCTTTAAAAGTTCAAAAGATAGAAAGGCAAGCGAGCACGGATTCTTCGGGAAGCGAAGAGGGCGGGGCTAGCAGAGATTCTTAACCACCCCTTTAAAACCGCACCCGCCAAAGTAAAGTAGGTTGAAAGGGGCGGCGTCTCTTGTTTCTGCCCCCTCCGGGAGCCCGAGCTCAAGGCACACACAAGCCGTTCGGCATGCATTTGGCTGAATATCAAATCAAGCCAATAGATCTGAGCGGGGGAGGGGAAAGAGTCTCACCCCCTGCTTGCTTAAGCCAAAAGAAGGGCCGCCACCAAACAAGGCCAAGTGGCGAGCCGGATAACCCCCCGGGCCACACACGCAATTAGTAGCCTCCCGTACGCGCACCTACGAGAAGCCGAGGGAGCAGAGTATTGGGCAAATAGCCGAAATTTTGGGGACGAGGTGAGGAGAGGGCAAGCTAGCACAGATTGTTGAGGAAGAGGAGAGGGAAAGTAGGCTTAGGCTTAGGCTTAGGCTTAGGCTTAGGCTTAGGATTGCTAATGCAAAAGTACCGCTTCCTCAATCTCAAGCTAGACTCTAGGAAAACAGCGGTTTCCTCTAGAATCCAAATGGTCAAGCTGCAGCCAGAAGCCAAAAAATATGCGAAGAAGCACGCGTATGCAGAAGGCGAGTAACCCGGAGGGGGCACATAGTAGCCGTGCGGAATCGGGGCATAACTCAATCCGGCGGCCCGCCCGGACGCTCCCATTCATTCGAGTGACCTGAGCATGGGTGGGGAAGAGGGAGCAGTGATCGCTACGGGACCCATCCACGATTACTACGATTTTGTAGGAGGTGAAGAGCCGATTTTAAGATGTACTAAAAAGAGTGTTTTTTAAGGCCAGGCAGACTAGCAGAGATCAGTTAAGACGTAGGCAAGCTAGCAAAGATCTTTGAGGAATTTCGGGGGAGGGGAGCAGAGACCACTTGTGGGGTAGGGGCAAACTAGCAGAGAATATTTGCAGGTGATAAGCTAAAAGTTTTACCCTAAAAAAGATTATTGAGGAATTTTGTTGCAGGCTAGCAAAGATTCATGAGGAAGCTCCGAGCAGGCTAGCAGAGGTCATTTAGGAATTTTAGGACAGTCTAGCAAAGATTCTTGAGGAATTTTAGGGCAAGCTAGCGGAGACCATTTGGTTGGAAAGGGCAGGCTAGCCGAGATCACTTGATGAGAATTGGGAAATTTGGACTGTGGCGGGGATTCTTGAGGAATTTCTGGCAAGCTAGCAGGGTCGCTTAAGGAATTTCCGAGGGTTTGGTAGATGCAAGTTTCTTACCCATCTCTCCGGCGTCCGGGTAGCATTTTCAAATTTTAAGTTTTTTGGTGATTAGCAATAGTACGGAATTTTTATCGAATATTCAAGCTTTTAGCGCTAGTTTTGGAATGTAGCATATGCTGGGCTTTCGGGGGGAAGCTTCGGACAATGCCCGGCCCAGGGGACGGTACAGGCCTTTGACAATGGCAGTCCGGGTGCTCTTTTTAGAAATTTGCCCTCGACCGCTGGCTGCCCCGGATACCGCTCATCCGCTATTTCCGGGCTGAGCATGCCTGCGCCTACATTTTTCGCGCTTTCCCGGTGTCGCGAAATGTTGCGGATGTCCTATTTTTTTGTAAAACATAACTAATACACTTTTAAGTGTAATATAAAATAATGATGATACAATACTAAAAACAATAATAAATAGTAATAATCAATACTAATAAATCATACTAACAAATATAATTTATAGGTTTTTGTATATTGAGGGCTCCTAGAAACTAGCAGAGATCATTTGAGAGCCCAAGCTAAGCAGGACAGGCTAGCAGAGATCATTTAGGAAAAGGGCAAGCTAGCAGAGATCATTTCGGAAGTGTTAAAAAAGCCCAGGGCAGGCTAGCAGAAACGATTGGGGATAAAAAATTTCATAGGACAGTGAAAGGCAGGCTAGCAGAGACTTTTGCGGAAGCGGGACGTTTTGAGCAAAGCGCCCAAATCAAGCGCAGGCTGGCAGAGACCATTGAGGAAATCAGCTGCAATCGATCGATGCCAGGAAAGCTAGCAGAGGTCATTGAGGAAATGTACCAATTCCAAAAATACAAGGCTGTAGGTTGAGAAAAAAGAGTGAATTACAAGAATCTTGTTGAGGAAACGAGCAGCGTACGAGTTTTAGGGCAAACTAGCAGAGATGTTTTATGAAATAAAGACAATTTTCAGAATCCGACGAAAAATTACGAAATCCAAAGGAAAAAGGGAAGCCGAGGTAAAGAAGGCGATTTGTGTGCGTATATGTCCACCCAAGGGTGTGGGTGGCGGCCCGCCAAAAAGCCCCGAATTTCATTAGTGCACATCCACGATGCCCCGGGCTGTCGTATTTTGGCGAGGCTTTTACGGGGTGGTGTAGCCATCCGTCTGGGCCACCACCGATCGGGGGGACATCCCTTGACTCGAAAAAGGGACGGGGAGGTGAAAATAGAACTCAACCGGACATACACACAAATACACATTCAGAATCCTCCTCCTCTCCTACCCAAACAACCAGCTTCGAATAACATAATAACGTAATTTGTGTGGCGCCGGCATACGGGGAGTCCGAGGCCGCCAAATGAGGAAGGGAGGAGCCGCGGCAGATGCTAGGATAGAAAAAACGAGGTTTTAAAGGCACTGGGAAGTACAAACCTAAGCCTACCCGTAGCCCGAAGTCAAAAAAAGCCTAGGCAAAGACTAAGCAAACCCTAAACAAATCCTTAGCCTAAGCCTAAGCAAAGTCTAATCAAAGCCGAAGCCTAAGCCTAAGCCTTAGCCCAGTCGTAGCCCTAAGCCTGAGCCTGAGGCGAAGCCTAAGCCTAACCCCAGCCTCAGCCCAAGTGCAAACTGAGACTCGGCCGAACCGGAAACACCCAGTTGGCTAAAAAACACCTTTTGCGCCTTCCTAATCCCTTTAAAGGGCTCACAGGGTCTCTGCTAGCCAGCCCTCTCCTCTTCCTCAACAATCTCTGCTAGCCTGCCCTCTCCTCTTCCTCAACAATCTCTGCTAGCCTGCCCTCTCCTCTTCCTCAACAATCTCTGCTAGCCTGCCCTCTCCTCTTCCTCAACAATCTCTGCTAGCCTTCCCTCTCCTCTTCCTCAACAATCTCTGCTAGCCTTCCCCAAAAGCGCAATTTCCCAGTTATCAGATCGATCAAGAATAAAGATAAAGAATTGGATAGCAATTCCATCAATCTCCCGGGCGATCTTACATCGTAAAACGAGGGAAATAAAAGGGAAATCCGGGGCGTGGGCCCCCATACCAAAGGGCCCGCCGGCCCGAAAACGTTTCCCCCGGTTACTACGAGTGTTCCGTCGCGGGCTCTATTTTGTGGGTGAGCCGACGAGGGGCAGACGCATCGAAACGTCATAAATTTATCTGGGTTTGAGCATTTTTTGCGATAGTAATTATATTTTAAAGCGCTACCAATACTGTAGTATATTTTTTTATAAAAATTCAGCTGTTTAAGTTTTTCGAAACTTTTTGAGGCCAGATATGAAAACCGAGCCCTCCTGGTCTCACCGACAAAAAGAACTAAATCCTAAATAATTCCTGCGAGCTGAAACTTCCTCTAAGTTAATGTGGAACGAGGAAGGGTCCTTATCCTACCTTATATAATTTTGGCGTGTATCTCTGTGTGTGTGTGTGTCCGACGCCAGGGAGGGCTACTTTGCATAATTCCAAAAAATACAAATTTCCTCATTCTTGCAAATTGCACGCGCGCGTGTGGTCGGAGGAAGGGAGGGGTCCGAAGGACCCAAGCTATCGGAAAGTCAAATTTCTCATGCAAAGGCCGCATTCCAGCGCCCAAGGCCCGCGAAGCGGGTTTTGGGCGCTGGTAATCTACATAATATCCTGCCCAGCGCCCTACTCAATGCAACGAGTTGCGTTTCGTTGCCCCCGCATTGGCATAATTTGATGGGGTTTTTTTTGCTACCAAAAAGGCTTTGGAAAGTCTTGGGCTTAGGGTTGGCTTAGGTTAGGCTTAGCCTTAGGCTTGGGTTTAGGCCTACGCTTAGCCTTACATGTTAGGCTTCTTAAGCCTGGACTTAGGCTTAGACTTATGCGTAGGTTTAGGCTTAGGACTTAGGCGTAGGCTTAGGCCCAGACCTATTAGACGTTTTTCAAGCTACTTCCAAGCTCCCAATGGTAAAGCTTGAGACACCGCTGTTTACCGGCCACAATCCGAGCCTAGTCCGCCCTATGCAATGGGGGAAAACTTTCGAATAATTCATGCCAAGATTTGTGTGCTAGCCTCCCCGAGCGTTGTCCCAGAAAACAATCAACGTAAGGGGAGGGGAGCTTCGGCTTAGGCTTCGGCTTACGTTAGGCTTTGCTTGGCTTAGGCGTGGGCTAAGCTTAGCCTTAAGAAAACGAGGAGGAGCGTGTGCCGGATCAGAGACACAAACCGCAAACCCATTGCAAGCCAAAGGGGCCATGTGTCACCTTCACTCAACTATCATCATCCGCTCCCCTTATGACCTCATGGCGGGGGGTGGTGGAAAGTGACACTTTGCAACCATCTGGGCCAGCTCGGGACACAGCCGGGAATCGCGAGTTCTTGTGAATTATCGAGGGTGGCGGCTAGCAAAGATTGTTGAGGAAGAGGAGAGGGCAGGCTAGCAGAGATTTTTGAGGAATAGGAGAGGGCAGGCTAGCAGAGATTGTCGAGGAAGAGGTGAGGGCAGGCTAGCAGAGATCATTTAAGAAATCCGATGCAAATCTCCAGCCCGTATCCGTAAATAGGTGTGAAATGACTAATTGCCAGGGCGGCTTCTTTCCGGAAAAAGCATCATGGGGTGTGGTGGTGGCTGTCAAATGCCGGGGCGCCCAAAGGGATGTCAAGCATCTCGGCCAAAGCCCGACTCGCTGTTGAAATCTGAGCCTCGGGCTGCCGTGGCGGGACACCCCCTGCTAAAACTGCCACTAACGGGCGCGATCAGCATTTCCTTTTTAGTAGAGCAGATTTTTGGCGTACGTGGTATGCTAATTAGAAGAATTAGAAGACAAAGAGAGAGCAAGGACGAGAGAGAGCGAGACCGAGAGAGAGCGAGACAGAGCGAGAGAGACGACAAGGCCTGCCTAAAGCCTAGACGTAGTAAAAATGAAGAAAGAGACAGACAGACATTGAGGTAGAGTCCGAGTGGGAGCGTGAGAGAGCGAGCCTGGGGTGAGAAAGAGCGTGAGGATAAGAGAGCATGAGAGTGAGAGAAAGAGGAGAGAGAGAGAGAGAAAAAAAAGAGAGAGAGAAAGAGAAACTAAAAAAACTGACCGTTCCAACCTCGGCCCATTCGAGAGCTGCTCCTCGAGGTCGAGCTTCTTCCGGGCGAAGCTCATCCTGGAAAATAATTTTTGGTCCTGTTAGTAACGGGAAGACGAGTAAATATTGCAAAATTAAAAATGAATGGCCTGGAGATACAAAAAATACAAGATCGAAAAGAAACACGAGAAGTTGGGTTGGAAAAGTTGCGAAAAGGTCGAAAACACTAGAAGTTGGCGTGACGGTAATTGGCGCATCTGGTCAGGAGGTCAAAAACATACATAAAATCGGGTAAGCAGTGCAGAAAACAAGCTTCTTTGGCTTCCCAAAGGTTCTCTGCTAGCCTGCCGCCTCCAGGGCATTCGTTTTCCTAAGGCATCCCTGCTTGCAATTCCCAAATTATCGCTGATAGCTTGCCTTGCCCCTTTAACAGAGGAAATTCTGTTTTTTTTTGTATTTTCATGCCCCGTTTTCCCTCTATATTCTCTATGCTTTTTTCGTCGTCTTTCATATGATAGAGCGAATGGAATTTGCGAAAATTCCTGAACACACCCCGCATCGCCAACCGGCTGTCTGGAAACGTGTGCCCTGAAGGCATGAGGATGCCATCACCAGATAAGGGAGGTGATGACTCAAAAACGCGTTTTTCCAGGGGATTCTAAAGGGGCGGCTCAGCAGGCCGGCGCAGAAAAACAAGCTCGAATTAGCGGCTCAGGGCACACCCATTAATGGCGCCTGGGCTACTTCTACTAGCTCTTTAGCTAGCATGCCTGAGCTAGGATGTATTTTACTACTAACTTACTACTAGCTCCTAGCTCCTTAGAGTCCCTTGCCGGCTGTCATACCGCCTTTAACCCATAAAACTGCTCTCTTGCTCGCTCGCTCGCTCTCTCTCGCTCTCACTCTCTCTCCCTCTCTCACCTTCTGATTATCTCACGCTCTCGCTATCTCGCCCCTTTCTCTCTTACTCCCTCTCTCACTCGCTTTTTCTCTCTCTATCCCTCTCTGTCTCTCTCGCTGTCTCACTTTCTTTCGCTCTCGCCACGTACCTGAATTCTTTAAATCCGTTATCAAGGCAGCTAACTGTATGCAATTTGAGCCCCCGATGTGGGTGGGTGATTTGCATAAACACCGCCTAGCTCGGTCACCCAATTTGGCAAGGCCGGTGGCGGCGATACCCCACCTTTTATCAGATCTAATCTAGCCTCTTGGATACGAAATATATCGAGCAGTCCGGCCCGGGTTGTACTGTCTGGCCATTAAATCTATTCAAATTACCCGATCACTGTCTCGATTTTTATATATCGCCAAGGATTTGTGTAGTCTATAGCTCCTTCATCAATCTGTTACACTAGTTGAAGACTATCTATACTTTTCATGGCTTTTAGAATCTTCAGAAAATGACAGCCACCCTCCCAGCCCTTCTATTATTAATTGGAATCGTTAAATCAGGTACTTAATCGAGTTTTGCTGAAAACATTGCTTTTTATAGCCCCCTCCCCGGTTCACGTCCAAATCTTGACTGATCCATCCAAGGTAAGTGATCGGACGATTCGGGCTTGGTTGGGCTTAGGCTTAGGCTCCTCTTCCAGTGCTTCGCTTTTTAGGAAAGTCTCCACCTCGGCCCCTACGACCAGACCCGATTCGACTTGATTGAAAGCTACAACCCCCTGGCAACGGCCGGTGTCGCGAAAGGTTTGTGTCATAGATACGTTAATTTACAATATACCGCTTGAAGTTGATTAAAATAGCAAAAGGAAAGGTCACTAAGGATTTCTTATAACGAGGTACACCAGCCGAGGGAAGCGACACGTTTTTAGCGCCCGAAAATAGCCTGTTTCCATTCTTTATATTTTCTTGAGTGGCTTCGTTGGGTACGAGAGAGAGAGAGAGAGAGAGAGAGAGAGAGAGAGAAAGAAAGAGAGAGAAGGCACGACCCCTCTAAAGCCTGGACGAGGCAAAATGAAGAAAGATCCGGTTCTAGGGGCTGATAAAATACGCATTAATAGCTAAACATGAAAATTCAGAATGTGGAAAAGAACTCTAATGGAAAAATACTATATTGGGTATTAGCTTGGCTCACCGACTAAACTTTAGGCGTCGACTTTGCCAAGATCCAAATCCCGCGCCGACCTCGCGTGAAGGCCAATGGCGTTAGGAACATCTTGAATACCGGTAAGCTTCGTTCAGATTACAGTAATCGGTCCACGTTTTAGGATCCGACGATTCTGACCTGCTCGGAAACGCCGTGGAGCAGTTGGAGACCGGGGAGAACGCGCCGGCTGCCGAGAATGGAGGTGATTTTTTGGGTTGCTAGGCTTGGGCTTGGGCTTGGGCTCAGGCATAGGCTTAGGCTTAGGCTTAGGCTTTGAATGTGCAACGGCATTTTTGACACAAGTAGCGACGCAAAGCGCTAGCGCCTAATTGGAAACCCTCCGCTTTTTCGGGTGTACTTTTCCTAAAGGACCGATGGGATCGAATTGACACCCGGATGTGCCATTCGGAAAAACGTATATGAGATTTGGATAATTAGTATAACTAAAGACAAAAAATTACGGGCCGCCTTTCCTGCGTTTTAAAGGTACCTAGAAGCCTGATCCACAGCTTTCAAGTTCTGTAGATTTCCTAAGATTCTCCACTTGAGAAGAGTTGGAAGTTACAGAATTTTGAATTTTAACTTTTGGCTTCCTGCCGGGTTTAAGAAGCTTCTAGACGCAGTAATCCAACAAAAGAAGCCATTATCAAAAATATGAACGCCGAGAAGAGAAGGAGAGAGAGAGGGAGCGAGAGAGAGCGGGCGAGGGAGTGAGAGAGAGAGAACAAGCCCTAATGGCCTAGTCGGACGCATCCGTTGAATCATTCACCACGGCTCCTGCATATCTTCTCCACCACCCCAACTCCAGGGTCACTAAGTAATTAGGCTAATTTGCATAAAATATACTGCCTTGGTGTTATACATCATGTTCGAATGAAAATTCACCTTTTTACCCTTTAATTTAGTTCATAACCAGGGTTGAAAAGCCGCTTCGCGACTTTTCAACCCTGGCCCCGTGTGATCCCATGATGTTCTTCACTTTGCATAATTCTCACGATTTTCGATCACAAAAATGAGAAAACGCTATTTCTCTTCCCTTATATAGGCTACCGCAACTTCCGGCGTATGCTAATTGTTTCCTAACAAAGAGGGTGTCAGATTTTTCAACAAAAACTTAATTTTAACGTCGAAAACATATAATATTTCAAAATTTTATTAGCGTGCAGTCATCCCCAGACCATTACGCACCTAATGACGTATCAAACATGCCCTTAACTACTCCCCTTATTAAGATACTACTGGAACAACCTGACGGAAGTTGCATGCAAAGTGGCACACACACACACACACACAGACACTATTTTTTTATATATAGTAGGATTTCGAAATCTGAAAGTATTCTTTCATCACTGAGTTTATGCTAATTAACATTCATAAAAAAATTGTCGAAAAATGTCTATACCTCAGAAAATTGAATTTTACTAATTGTGGCTGAAGTTAAGGCGAAATTAAATTCTTAACTTAAAATTAGCATCATTAGAATGGTCGGCCAGGCAACTAGCAGAGAAATTTCGGAATTTGAGAGAGGTGCGAGGGCGCAATTTGCATTCCCGGTCGATTAGCGGCCGAATCCGGAGGGTCCGGAGATGACATCTGGATTGGCCGGAAAAAAAACGGGAGAGATGGGACGTATATTCTAGGGGGTGTTTTCGAACATGAGCACGAGAGAGAGAGAGAGCGAGAGAAGGAGAGAGAGTCAGAGAGAGAGAGAGAGAGCGACCCACTGGGCGCCTCACATATCTAATTTGATTAGAATTTCGGGGCCAAGCCTGGCTGGGCGCCTCGTCAAAATCCTCCTCACACACGCGGAGCGGGGCCCTTCAGCTCCGCCGTGCGACTCCTTGAATTTGACGGCATGCAAATGAGTTGTGGATTTTCCGCAAAATCAGAAATTAGAGAGAGAGAGAGAGTGAGGGAGAGACAGAGAGAGAGAGTTTCAAAGCGGCTGTAGGCTTGCCGGTACCTTTAAAAACAACAAAATCGCCCCACCAACGAAACCAGTAAAACAGCCCGCCAGGGCTGCGCTGGCAGATTGTCAGGAGTGTGTATGTGGTGTGTATGTGTTTTCGTACATAAAAACGGCGCGCTGAAAGGGGGGTAGAGGAGCTTCTCCCTGCTCCTCCTCATCCCCCACCCCCTAACCACAGCCGGCCTCAATTCTCTGCGTATTGTTGTGCGAGAAGCCGGGTCGGGCAAAGGGGGGATACCCCCCTTGGCCATGCAGATACATACACTCACACTGCAGACAGACAGAGATATATATCAGAAGAACGGATTAGGCTTAGTCTTAGGCTTAGGCTTAGGCTTAGGCTTAGGCTTAGGTTTAGTCTTAGGCTTAGGCTTAGGCTTAGGCTTAGGCATAGGCTTAGGCTTAGGCTTAGGCTTAGGCTTAGGCTTAGGCTTAGGTTTAGGCTTAGGCTTAGGCTTAGGCTTAGGCTTAGGCTTAGGCTTAGGCTTAGGCTTAGGCTTAGGCTTAGGCTTAGGCTTAGGCTTAGGCTTAGGCTTAGGCTTAGGCGTGGGCTTAGGTTTAGCGTAGGCTTTGGTCAAAAATTGACTAGAATCTTCCGAAAATTATTTTGCCATTCTGAATCTGAAACCGGAGCCGCACGTACACAAACAGACGGCCGTGGCCTGGGGACATGGAGTAAATGCCTTTTTGGGAGGTTGGGGGGCGTGAAAAGCTCGAATAGCCAGCGGGACACGAAGCAGTGCGAGCGAAAACAATGGACTCGCATACTCGACACCTCAAACTCTGGCAGGAAGTGGCAGGGAAAAGAATGGCATGAAAGAGCAAGCACTGCATAGGCTAACGACTTCCTCGGGGTATGTCATTAGTGCGCGAAACAGGAAGGCTGGCTAGCAGAGATTGTTGAGGAAGAGGAGAGGGCAGGCTAGCAGAGATTGTTGAGGAAGAGGAGAGGGCAGGCTAGCAGAGATTGTTGAGGAAGAGGAGAGGGCAGGCTAGCAGAGATTGTTGAGGAAGAGGAGAGGGCAGGCTAGCAGAGATTGTTGAAGAAGAGGAGAGGGCAGGCTAGCAGAAATTGTTGAGGAAGAGGAGAGGGCAGGCTAGCAGAGATTGTTGAAGAAGAGGAGAGGGCAGGCTAGCAGAAATTGTTGAGGAAGAGGAGAGGGCAGGCTAGCAGAGATTGTTGAAGAAGAGGAGAGGGCAGGCTAGCAGAAATTGTTGAGGAAGAGGAGAGGGCAGGCTAGCAGAGATTGTTGAAGAAGAGGAGAGGGCAGGCTAGCAGAAATTGTTGAGGAAGAGGAGAGGGCAGACTAGCAGAGATTGTTGAAGAAGAGGAGAGGGCAGGCTAGCAGAAATTGTTGAGGAAGAGGAGAGGGCAGGCTAGCAGAGATTGTTGAAGAAGAGGAGAGGGGCAGGCTAGCAGAAATTGTTGAGGAAGAGGAGAGGGGCAGACTAGCAGAGATTGTTGAAGAAGAGGAGAGGGCAGGCTAGCAGAAATTGTTGAGGAAGAGGAGAGGGCAGGCTAGCAGAGATTGCTTGAGGAACGAGCAGTCCGCAAAAAAATATCCCATCCAGTCGTAGCCCCAGCCGGAAAATAATTACCCACCAGGTGTTATTTAGGAAAACTCGGCAGTCCCGTGCCTCAAAAATCATTAGCGCTCCTTGTCGTTTTTTTGGTGTGTTTTCGGTGGGCCAGAGTAACAAAACGTGCTCAGGACCGCTGGAACATACTGGGGAAGTTGGGGCCACAGGGTACAAGATTTAGCAGATAACGCCCGGAGACTAGGGTAATTTATGCGCCTCAACTTGTGCGCATCGACATTTTGGGGAGTCGAAAAACAAAAGGCAGGTTTGGGCAGCTGGTAGAGGCTTACAAGGGAACCACCTAAGGTCAAGGTGGCGTTTCGTTATGGGCCCCAGCCTATTTTGTGTAAAATTTTTTCCTGATTCCGAACCCGCTTTCAATTTTTGCTAAATAGCTCAATTTAAAAAGTTATAGCGATTTTAAGGTCATATCTGTGCCCGCGGGAAGTCATCTGTCACGATGCCCAACTTTTTTATATTAATAGGGCAGTCAATTTTGAATAGCCTGTCTTGTAGAGAATTTTTTTCTGATTCGATTGGTATATTTCATTAGTGCGCTACGACCTATCGACGATTATTTACGGGGGTGTGAAGTAGGCAATTTTTCACCATTTCCCATACAAAAAACGGAGTCCATGCCATTTTTTCGTCGATATCGTCGATTCGTCGATATCGCCATATCGTCGATTTTTTCAATTTTCAACAATTTTGAGTTAAATAGTTCATTCGATAGAGAAAATTTTTCTGAATACGATGGCGATATTCGTTTTTGAGGAATCAGACGGGAAAGGCAAGATAAATGACTTTGAAGTTCGAAAATTTGGGAAAAAATGGAACTTTGAAACGCTATAACTTTTTAAATTGGGCTATTTAGCAAAAAATAAAGCGGATTCGAGATCAGCAAAAAATTCTGCACAAAATAAGATGGGTCCCATAACGAAACGCCACCTTGACCGTAGGTGGTTCCCTTGTTAGTTAGGCTTAGGCTTGGACTAGACTCGAGTTAGGCTTAGGCTTGTAATCTGGTGCATCTATAGATCATTTCCCGGAAGAACGCAGTCTAGCAGTGATTATTGATCCCTGTTCATCTCCCCCATTTTCAGTCGTGCTCGGCGAGTACCTCGAGTGGGGCTCGTGGTCGGCGTGCAAGGATGGTGAACGCGTCCGGATGCGCGTGTGCGTCTCGAGGAGGGCGGCGCGGAACATCCGATGCGAGGGGCCATCAAAGGAGGTTAGTGGGCAGGATAGGCTTAAGCTTTGGCTTAGACTTAGGCTTAGGCTTAGAAGGGGCCTAGGCCTGAAGATTGAAAGCTAAGCATTAAATCCAATTTTTCAGTCCCAAGCCTGCTTCTCAACCGACGAGACGAACATCCCGGTGATGACGGACCCGTGGATGATCGAGCGCGAGATCAGCGGCCAAAAGATGAAGGCAAGTGGGCTAGCAGAGATTTTTGAGGAAGCTCACATTGCCTTTTTGTAAGAATCAATCCTTTATAGCCAGCTAAGCCCTATTTCCAGCCCCGGATCTGGGAGTATCTGGTGAAAAAGGTAGCTTAAACGACTATAGAGGTCTTGGCGTTACATAATCCATTTTTAAGTTCTTGTCTAACATCCCGCTTGACTAATTTTGCTTTTCTTTTCGATGTTTTGTGAAATTTACATATATCAACTTTTCAGAGCCGTCACGAGGGTGGGCAATAATCTTCCTGGAGCTCCCATTAATGTGCCCATCGCCGTCGGGCAATAATAATCTTCTGTGATCTTTGGATTTTGTGTTTTGTTTGCAATTTGAATAAATGGTTTCCACAAGAATCTCTGCTCGATTGCCCTCTCCTCTTCCTCAACAATCTCTGCTTGCCTGCCCTCTCCTCTTCCTCAACAATCTCTGCTAGCCTGCCCTCTCCTCTTCCTCAACAATCTCTGCTCGATTGCCCTCTCCTCTTCCTCAACAATCTCTGCTTGCCTGCCCTCTCCTCTTCCTCAACAATCTCTGCTAGCCTGCCCTCTCCTCTTCCTCAACAATCTCTACTAGCCTGCCCTCTCCTCTTCCTCAACAATCTCTGCTAGCCTGCCCTCTCCTCTTCCTCAACAATCTCTACTAGCCTGCCCTCTCCTCTTCCTCAACAATCTCTGCTAGCCTGCCCTCTCCTCTTCCTCAACAATCTCTGCTAGCCTGCCCTCTCCTCTTCCTCAACAATCTCTGCTCGATTGCCCTCTCCTCTTCCTCAACAATCTCTGCTTGCCTGCCCTCTCCTCTTCCTCAACAATCTCTACTAGCCTGCCCTCTCCTCTTCCTCAACAATCTCTGCTAGCCTGCCCTCTCCTCTTCCTCAACAATCTCTACTAGCCTGCCCTCTCCTCTTCCTCAACAATATCTGCTAGCCTGCCCTCTCCTCTTCCTCAACAATCTCTGCTAGCCTGCCCTACCCTCTTCCTCAACAATCTCTGCTTGCCTGCCCTCTCAGGAAAATAGGGACTCTACGTTCTCTCAACCTCCCCGGTAAAGTAGCAGAGACCATTGGTGCTCGCTCTAAACACAATTTTTTAGGCTGTTTATAGAAAGTTCCTGGATTTTAGGAGCGCTCTCTTCTTTTCATCCTTTTCCGCTGCTCTTTGAAGCGTTTAAGGGATTGGGAAGCGATCGAGACTCTCTTTCCAAGGTCACACTCCGAACCTCCCGAACCCCAGCCAGGATTAGACCCCTTTTTTTGGTCGCTTTTGGCATATAAATATTGCCCCCACAGGTGGGAAATATTGAGCTGCTCGATCTTGTGCTCCTCAAAAGTTTGTTTTCTGTTTTGTAGAAAGTTTTGGAGACTCGCTGGTACCTATGTTGCGTAGCGACCACTGATCAAATCCACTCCTTTAAAGGACCATCGAAGTCATAAATCTATCATCGGTCGGAGGACTAGCAAAGATCTTTATGGATACGATGGTTCAATTTCCTGAAGAGACCCAAAACCCTGTGGTTCCTCAAGAATCTCTGCTAGCCTGCTGGTTGCTTCGTGCGGGGGGAGGTTAAGAAACTCGATTAAAGATTAGGCGTAGGCTTGGGCTTGGGCTTGGCCTTAGGTTTAGACTTAGGATTAGGTTTTGCTTATGCTTATGCTTTGGCATAGAGGTTACATTTTCTCCAACGTGGCGGAATTTTAAAAATCCCATCTTCGGAATCGCATTTCCAGATGAAGCACCTTATCCTTGCCGCGGCCATCATTGGCTCCCTGCAAGCAGCTACCAGCCGAGCTGATGTTTTTGTAAGTCTGAAGCTAGGTCAAGGCCCTAATTTTTCGAAATCCAGCAATCCCTAATGCTCGTGCTTCTAGGAGGGCGAGACCGTCCGCTTTGTACCTGCCGGCAATGTTTTTGAGCGCGAGAGTGTGATGGGAAATGAAACGATTACGTAAGGAAATTCGGGTGACTGAAAATACGATTTTTTAGAAAATGCAAAAAGGATGAGAGCGACGGTGAGAACTGCGGAAAATGGGTTGTTAAAGAGGTAAGCTATTCATAGTGGGCAGGGCAGGCTAGCAGAGATCATTTGCTTGCTTCAGAATGGCACGCTCCCAATCGACGAGGTCGGTTCCGAGACCGTTTGGGAGGGAGATGAGCTCGTGATTTCGAATGTACAGCTCGCTGACGCCGGCACCTACCACGATCCGGTAAGCGCTTTTCGCAAGGAATCTCTGCAAGCCTGCTTTCTCCTCTTCCTCGACAATCTCTGCTAGCCTGCCTTTTTTCAGGCGGGTGCCAAGGACCCGAATGGCAGCTCGGAATCTGCATCTTCTGAGGGTTCCTCAGAAGATGGTGATGAAGACAAGTCGAACACGATCGTGACGCTGATCGTCCACAGCGGCGGCGACATGGAATAACAGTCTTCATTACCTTTCCGCTTTATTGTCGATTTTTAGCGTTGTGTAAAAGTTTCAAGGCTCGTTCCGTCGGATTTCAGTAAGATCATTTATATCTTCGCCTATCATACAAAAAAAAATACAGCATAAAATTATGTAAATTATACAAGAACACCGAGCAAATGTTTTTGATACGTTTTGAGCAAACTGGGAATTTTTGACGAAATGGTAGGCTAGAAATGGGGTACCCGTAAGGTGGAAAAAACGGAATTAAAAAAGGATATGAATAAATTATCACAAATAATTCATATAAGTTAATAAACCAATAAATTAGGTTTTACAAAACACACAGAAATATGCAGAATGACTAGAAAATAGGGGGAGCACCGAGGTCCGAAAGGTCGGCAAGAAAGAGCTACGCGTCTATCCGCTATTCCGCGTTGACCGTGGGGTTTCGTCGATTTTCTAAATTATAGGTAACTTAAAGATGCAAATAACATAATTTGCATAAGGTCTCCAAGGCGAAAAATTCGATTTTATACACTAAAATTCTTTAAGATTTGCAAAACCCGAGTTTTCTGGAGGTTTGAGCTTTTTTTGCCCATTTTGCATATTCTAAATTGGTTCGGAATATTAATATATAAAATTCTACATGTTTTAGTTTTTTTCAAGGTAATTAATGACTTCTCCAGAAATAAATAAGTTTTATATTATTTTTCTAAGGCTCACCTTTGGCTGCTCCTCAACCTGCGTGATTTGCGCGAATTCGATCGGCGCTTTGTGATCGGAAATTGTTTTATCGCTGGCTCCGGCCTCTGAGATCTTCTTGCTCGGCTGCTGTTGAGCACGACCCACCTGAAAAGATGCAAATTAAGGGCAAAAATTGAGAAATTTCTTACCGTAAGCAGCAAGGCCGGGAGGAAAATGATGCCGTGTGCCAGCCCGAGAGCTGTCACCAGGAAGATCGTCTTCCAGAAGACGAGAATCTGCATTATTAAAATTGTTAAACGATATAAAATTAAGTAGGATTTGTTAAATTATTACAGTAAATTTCATCAAGTTTATGAGGAGCGCCACTTACCATGTAAGAATCGACGATCAGCAGCGGGGAAACGCTGAGAATCGTCGAAAAACCGGCTTGCAGCATTGGCCATCCGATATTCCTGAAATGGGCAGGCTAGCAGAGATTGTTGAGGAAGAGGAGAGGGCAGGCTAGCAGAGGTTATTGAAGAAGAGGAGAGGGCAGACTAGCAGAGATTGTTGAGGAAGAGGGGAGGGCAGGCTAGCAGAGATTGTTGAGGAAGAGGAGAGGGCTGTCTAGCAGAGGCGCTTGCGGAAAATCACCCTACCGCAACGCATCCGCAAGCCGCTCGTCGGTAGTCCAGGAGATCGGGTTACGATAGTAGTGGTAGCTGATGTGGGCTGTGAAATCGACGGAGAACCCGATCGACCTGAATTCGTTACCATATGAAAATTGTGAAAATTTCTGAGCGCAGTCCATAATAATTTTTGACTTTCTGGCCTCTTTAATGGGGGCTTAAAACTCACATTAAGGTGGTGCACATCGAGATCGGGTCCAGGTTGACGCCCCACATCGACAGCAGGCCGAACACGCCGATGTTGATGGATATCATGGCGACGGTGCTGGAAATCACTGAGCATTAGGCTTAGGCTTAGATGGTCAACTACCTCGACAAGATGCTGCTCATCGACGGAATCATCATCAAGCAAGCCAGGTCCATCGTCAACGCGGCCACAATCACCGTCGAAGCCGTGTTTCCGGCGATCGAATCGAGCTGGTCGACGTAGAATGAATAGGGCTAAATTTTATGTTATAAGCTAAGTGGCAATTCACCTGGAATATGGTGACGTTGTACGCGGCGTACTCCTTCACGACGTTCCGCCAGACGGCCTGGATTTGGGAGCGTGCTCCCCAGCCGGCCAGCTCGCCCAGGCTGTACCCGGTGGCGAACATGAACTTCTGAAACGTAGAGGTAACTGGATACAATTTTTGGGTTGAAAAACCCTTCAAACTGAGAAGTACGGACCTGGACACCGACGACGTCTTGTCCCTGTCTTCGCAGACGCACCATGTCGTTCCAGCGCGATCCTCCATTCTCCGGGTCCTGCATCCAGCTGTTGAGCAGGTTGTAGAACGTTTGGTTGCTGTTGACGTAGAGGGTGCTCTGAAAAAAAACAAATGATTTCTGCTAGCCTGCCCTCTCCTCTTCCTCAACAATCTCTGCTAGCCTGCCCTCTCCTCTTCCTCAACAATCTCTGCTAGCCCTCCTTCTCACCTGCGACAAGAAGCTTCGCAGCCAGAAACTCGTCGAGTTCCGCCCCATGGCAAATGGCAACCGCTCGAAGCGGTCGACCAACGAGAACATGTCGCGCTGCCCGTCCTCGGTGGTGACGTCCGGCGGAGCGTTGACGAACACCAGGATCTAAGGGGATTTTTGCCGACACGTTCCCTTCAATAAGTTCTAGCCAGTTCTGACATCTAAATCTGATCTTCCAGGTTAACGACCCCTTCAAAAATCTACCAGCTGACCCTCGCGCCACACAAACTGCTCGTAGATGTACTTGATGCCGATGAGGCGCGAGTCTTTGGGGACCAGGTTGGCGGTGTCCATCTAGAAATGGAGGCTGGTTTCTTGCAGGCACTCGATCTCTCCCTCTCTCTCTCTCTCTCGCTTTCTCTCTCTCTCTCTCTCTCTCTCTCTCTCTCTCTCTTTCTCCCTCCTCTCTCTCACGCTCTCTCACCTTTATCTCCATCGAAGCGCATCCCTTATACGAGACATACCAGTAGCAGAACAACACCAGTAACAAGGCCAATCGAGTCTAGAATTCAGAGATTTGCCTTCAATCGCCCTTTAAAACCACGCACCTGCCACCAATTGAGTACACGGCAATACTTGCTGACGATGCCGTTATGGTGCTTCTTCATCTCGACCGTCCGCTCGGCTACGCTCTGCTCCTCGCTTGCGCTTCTGAATTTTGGGGATAATTGAAAATTCAATTAATAAATTTGGTCCCTAAATTAGCGTCATAAACTTATAATAATGTAGTAAAAATTAATAATAGAAATAGAATTAAATTAATTAAAATAACTCTACTTACTGTATCGCGGCCACCTCGTATTTTTGCTGCTTCTGGCTTTGGCGTACTTTCTGGGCGGCTTGCCGCTTTTCTTCGTAAACCATGGCCGCCACGAAGAAGGTTAGCTAAACATTGACTTATTAAATTCAATATTTCTTTATTATTTTTTTATTGAATGTTTAATTATATTTATGCTAATTAGTATCCAATCGAATCTACCTGATAGATAAAATCGATAAAAACAGCCACGCAGGTGTAGAGGCAAAAGAGGGAGATTGCCGGGGTTGGCGTCAGGATTCCGATGGCAAACGAAAGGACGTTGGTAGCGGAGGTTACGGTAATTGAGGGGCCCGCCTCTTCCATGGTATGAGCTGAAATAATTCTTTTCTAAAGGATATCCGCTAGCTTGCCCTGGGCTTTTAAAGGGAGTGTGACAGTTAGAATTTTTGGTAAATTCACAAATTGTTCATAATTGCCTTCAAAGAATCCCTGCTAGGCTGCCCTATGCTTTCAAGGGGGAGTGACACCCACCCATCTGGTCTTCCAGTGACGAGTTCTTGTTAGCTTTTCTGTGGGCGTGGATGATGATGAACACATCGTCACATCTAAATAGCTTGCTTAGGCTTAGGCTTAGGCTTCGCTTACCCCACTCCAATGATCAAGAACGGCATCACGAGCGTGATCGAGTTGAAGGGGAGCCCGATGAGCAGGAGGAGTCCGAATCTAAAACATTGTAACTAGCCCGATTTTACAAACTACAGTAGAGTGTCAATGGTAAAATTCGTACGTTGTTCCAATCGCCATTAATGGCCCGGCGATGCCCAAGATAGCCATGACAGCGTTGTGTGAGATTGTGAAATGTTCTCGCCTGGACAATCAAGTGTAAATAAAAATATACTAAAAATAGCATTATACCTTAAGGAAGTTAACAAATATGACTTTGAAAACTAAGCTACTTTAACTAACCAATTTGTCGCGAAGATGAACAGCACGACGATGACGATGGAGATGTTGAAGTAGGGGACGCAGGAAAAACCGTTGCGACGAACCTAGAAAGGGCAGGCTAGTCGAGATTTTGGAGGAAGAGGAGAGGCTAGCAGAGATCCTTGAAAAACGCTAACCTCTTTCGAAACAATCCCATCACTAGTAGATGATATATTCAGTAGAGGATGTTTAAAGTTCTGGGTGTACGTGTTCATCTCGTTCTCCCACCTAAAACCGTTCATGAATTCGTCACCTATAACCTATAGCAAACCGTTTCAACGTCTCGTCCACAGCTGGGTTCTGCCGATCCGTTCTGTAGTACAGCATGATCACCTAGAAATTAACATTTTTAAAGGTACTAGGAAGGCAAAGGGCCATGGATACTGTAGCCAAGTACATACCTTGATGTCAGATATAAGATTGGTTTTCGGGTCCAGCTTTACTCCGGCAAAGTGCTCGCCCACGTAGTACTCGTCGTTGTAGAGGTGCATGGTCGGGAAGGTCAACCTGAATTCTCAATCTCTGCTAGCCTGCCCTCTCCTCTTCCTCAACAATCTCTGCTAGCCTGCCGTCTCCTCTTCCTCAACAATCTCTGCTAGCCTGCCCTCTCCTTTTCCTCAACAATCTCTGCTAGCCTGCCCTCTCCTCTTCCTCAACAATCTCTGCTAGCCTGCCCTCTCCTCTCCCTCAACAATCTCTGCTAGCCTGCCCTCTCCTCTTCCTCAACAATCTCTGCTAGCCTGCCCTCTCCTCTTCCTCAACAATCTCTGCTAGCCTGCCCTCTCCTCTTCCTCAACAATCTCTGCTAGCCTGCCCTCTCCTCTTCCTCAACAATCTCTGCTAGCCTGCCCTCTCCTCTTCCTCAACAATCTCTGCTAGCCTGCCTTCCCCTACCGAAAATTTGGATGCAATCTCCTGCTCGAATTCCGGTAGATGAGGTTGAAGATGGGGACCACCTAGAGAAATTCAATTTGCATAATTTGATAAGAGTTCGTCACCTGATTATCATTACATGACCCAGAACACAACGAATCAAACGAGCAGTTCCCACTGCTTTCTATGGTGGCAGGGCAGGTTACGGTGAAGTTGAACTGGAAAATGAGGGAGGTTAATGCTTCTTAAATTGATTTAATGGATACTAAAACTACCATAATTCCGATAACTAAATTTCATTCATTCCTACCTGCAAATATTGGGATAACTCGTCGATGCTGTCTAGATATTCACGTCGTAGTAAATTTCCCATATCGTGAGCTGTGATGGCTAGCTGAAAATGGGGAATTGAAGGCGAGCTAGCAGAGATTGTTGAGGAAGAGGAGAGGGCAGGCTAGCAGGGATTGTTGAGGAAGAGGAGGGGGCAGGCTAACAGAGATTGTTGAGGAAGAGGAGAGGGCAGGCTAGCACAGATTTTCAGGACATAACCAAAACTTACCTCAAGCCAAAATTTTCCGCCTCGATCGTCGAAAAATTCATTCGCGACTGCGTGTTCATAATGCGAGGCCGCACCTGTGGGAGAGTAGAGGTACCTTAAAAGGGTTAAAGGTATCGATAGCTCCACTCACCATATCCGATTCTCCTCGTGCCATCTCAGCAAGCCAAAGGCGCTGAACGCCGTCAAAAGGACCGGAATCCAGAAGAACGGGGCTGGGTGTCTAAACTTATTTTAATTAGTAAAAGGCTAAAGCTTTCAGCAGTTTTTTTTAGTCGCGCTCCAATTACACCACCGACCTGTAAACCTGGACTCCTGTCTTCCGGAAAAATTCACAAATAGCATGCGAGATGACGTGGCCCGGCGATCGCATTGGCCACAGCAGCCCCGGGGGCCCACCGGAGGATTATCGGGCTGAAAAGTGAGATGAGGGCAGGCCAGCAGTGGTTGTTGAGGAGTTATGAAGAAGGACAGGTAGGCCGGCAGAGGAAATTTGGGAAAGTTAGCAGGGTTAAATGCAAACTGAAAAATATCTGGAGAGACAGGCTAGCAGAGATTTTTTAGGAATTTTTTGGCGGAAAGGGTAGGCTAGCAGGCTTTCCTTAGGAGGCGGGCTAGCGGAGAGCTTTTCGGAAGGAAAACTGGGTTCTCCTGAAGGGCAGCTAACTGGATGCCGCTGAATCGCTTTTCGACGCCGTATGTTTGTAGGCAGGCTAGCAGAGTTCTTTGAGGAAAATTGTGTTAAAAATCTGTCGGATGAAAAAAAAGCGTAGCCGAATTTTAATGAGATGTGGTTTTTGGTCCACGATATAGGCAGTCAGACAAACTTAAAATTTCTCCGAAAAACGCAGGCCAGGCTAGCTAGCAGAGATTTTTGAGGAAGCATACCAGGCAAAAAGTGAAAAATCGTAAGCCCATAATCTACATGCCACCCGAGGCGTGTGGGTGGGGGGGGGGGGGAAGATGGGATTGGCGGGTGGCGGATATATCAGTGCCGGATGATGCCCCGAGGGCATATAGCCGGAACGGGTTCGGCAGATACACTAGGCAACCATCGATAGGCTGAGGAGAAGCCGATCATCCCCCCAACCCCCCACCACCCCACCCATGGCATCCACACCGCAATACACCAAAAAACGGGAGTTGGTGTAGCAAATCTGGGGCTTGGGCGTAGACTTAGGCTTATACATAGGCTTAGGCTTAGGCTTAGGCTTAGGCTTAGGCTTAGGCTTAGGCTTAGGCTTAGGCTTGGTCAGAAACTTAGTACCTGTCAGGCGTAAGCTTACCCTTAGCGGTATTTTGGCAATATCGGGTGGGGGATGGTCAAGAAATTCGTCGTAGTGCAAACATAATTTTTAGTTGCAGTTTTCACAAAATTTAGAGCGATTTCCCATGCACAAATTGTCTAGAAAACCAAGGCGAGTGCTTGAAACTTCGACATTTTATCGAAAAATCGGTGTTTGTCGTCTTTTTCGGCAATAATTTTTAACATTGTCATTGGACAAAGATTCAGGAAGAGTGTTCAAATTTGAGACATGGACAAAACACGCCGCGGTGGGCTCAAATAAGGCGACAAAAATGGGCCGTCGAAATTTCGGGCTCTTGCGATGGAAATCTATGAGAAGAAGCCGTCGAGGGGCTCGCTGAGGGATGGAAAAACGATCCGACAGCCCGATCGGCAGATCGACCTGCACTTTCAATTCGTGCCAAAAACGTGCTTTTTGTAGAATTTCGGAGGCAAGCTAGCAGAGATTGTTTGAAGAAAAGGAGAGGGCAGGCTAGCAGAGATTGTTGAGGACGAGGAGAGGGCAGGCTAGCAGAGATTGTTGAGGAAGAGGAGAGGGCAGGCTAGCAGAGATTGTTGAGGAAGAGGAGAGGGCAGGCTAGCAGAGATTGTTGAGGAAGAGGAGAGGGCAGGCTAGCAGAGATTGTTGAGGAAGAGGAGAGGGCAGGCTAGCAGAGATTGTTGAGGAAACAACTTTACGTCATTTTGACAGGCGCTACAAGTGCCACTACGTGAAACACCTACGACCAGTGGGGGTGGAACCGCTGGAAAGGTCGAGGGGGGCGGATTTTTGGTGTTACCGGGGTTAGCCAGTTTGTACGCACCGTTCACCCACGTACACTTAAGGCAATACGATCCGATTAGCGTTGTAAGGTAGTTTACGATGAAAGCGAGATAAGGCTTACGCTTAGGCTCGGGCTGAAGCTTAAGCTTAGGCCTAGGCTTACGCTTAACCTTGGGCTAAACAGGGTCGAAACAGGCCAACCACTTCTCTTTCTTTATCCAAATTCCAAATTGGAGTAACCAATTTGCTCATTAACATGATTTTAGTCTATAGTAACCTAATATATTTATCCTTTCTTTTTAATTAGTCTTAGGCTTAGGCTTAGGTAATCTAGCAGCGGTCATTGATCCCTGAAAAAACATCTGGTACAAGTGCCAAAGACGATCCGTACATTCGCACAGAGCACAAAAAATTATGAGATTCATCGGGTGGCTTGAAGGAGCCGAGATGAATGGGATAAGCGCTTCAAGGGCTTGGCGATAGATAGAGAGAGAGAGAGAGAGAGAGAGAGTGGGAGAGAGACAGAGAAATACCAGCAGCCATGCTGCCCGCCGGCTATGACCTTTCACCCCTCACTGGCTTCTTCGAGAATCCGGTTCGCGGGTCGTAAACTATCGCTGGCCGGCAAATTGCTTAGGAATTTCCCCAGAAATCTCTGCTAACCTGCCCCAAGTGGCATGAATTACAGGGAGAATGGATTACATGGATGTCAGGGGAGAAAGTGAGATTTCCTCAATTTTCTCTGTTCCTCACTCTGAATTGAATGTATATGGATGCATTAATGATGCCACCAGGTGTTTAGAACCGAGAGAGAGAGAGAGAAAGAGAGAGAGAGAGTTAGAGAGATGAGAAAGTAGATCATTCCACAATATTCGCTGCTAGCCTGCCCTTTTCTAAAAGGACCCACAAGAGCAACAAATCATTAATCTAGCAAAATTCTCGATTCCTCAACAAGCTCTGCTAGCCTGCCCTCACAAAATCAAAGAAAATTTTGTCAAAAATTGTGGCAGCCAGACGGTTCGACGGGGCAGCATGCAGTCAGCCATCCACGACCGTGCGAACCGGCTTTCACTCGTCGTAAAATGTGCCCCGGGGGGTATACGGGTGATTAGTCACCACAACTAGCGTCCCTGACTGTTGCCAAGGGCAGACTCTGGGTTTCGGAAAATTTGGAAGCGTGGAGTGACATCAGAGAACAGTGACAGAGGATTGATCGTCTAGGAAAGTGCGGGTTGGCTTGGCTGGGCTGGGCTAAGGATTAGGCCTTGGCTTGGCTTACGCTTGCTTGAGGCTTAGGCTTAGGCCTCTTTAGGCTTAGGCTTACTCTTCAGCTTAGGCTGCTGCTTAGGCTTAGGCTTAGGCTTAGTCTTATGCTTAGCCTTTGCTTAGCTAGACTAAATTTTTGGTTTTGCCTAGCCTTCCCCACCCCTTTAGAACCCATCCGAGCATAAAATATTCCCGGCGAGAATAGCCGCCCGGGCGAGCGCCCGAGTGCAAAAACGTGTGGCGCCCGGGGGATGATTGGCGGGGTATCGCCTGGGAGAAGCTCGGCGCTACCGGGAATTTTCAGGGTGAGGGGAAGCTGAGGCTGTGGGTGGCATTGTTAAAGGGATACCGCCGGCTGACAACCGGGGAACCGGCTTCTCGAAACGGATCGGCTTGCCCCCGGGGGAGTCGGATCATTTTCAGGGCTATGCCGTTGGCATCTGAAATCAGAGGGGATCTGGAAAGCTGTCTCTCGCTATCTAAAACTCTCTCTCTCTCTCTCTGTCTCTCTCACTCACTCTCTCTCTAGGCAGGCGATTGATACCTCGTCGCTAACCGCTGGAAGAAATTTCTGGCAAACCGAGGGTTTGAAATGGCGTGTGACAGCTAGCTGGCGAAGGATGGGTAGCTAGCAAACATTCTTGAGGAAATGAAACAAAATCTGGTAAACCAGCAGAGATTATTCGGGAAGTGTTCTCCCGGGCAGACCAGCAGAGATTGTTGAGGAAGGGGAGAGGGCAGGCTAGCAGAGATTATTTAGGAACCGACGACCATTGCCCGCCGCCAGAATCTGGCAGGGAAAGGCTATCAAAAAGTGGCGTGGATCCGTACCGTCACACGCATTGCCACAGATCCCTCCCCATCCACACCTCTCCCAGGCGGCGAGGCGGCTCTCTCTCTCTCTCTCTCTCTCTCTCTCTCTCTCTCTCTACCCTGGGGGCATTGTAAACCGGTTCAATTGGTGGGGAGGAGCGTATGACCGACCCCCTGGGGGATACCAGTATCCGCTTCGAAAACCTTCTGGAAGGAGCCTGGCTGACCCTACGATGAGTCTGAAAAAGAGCGGTCGAAAAACTCGATTGTGTGTTAGTTTGAAGGGACGTTGAAGGCAAAACTCTTTAGAAAAATGTGTATTAAAAATGTATCCAAAAACTTTTCAGAATTGCAGCAATTTTAGAAAATTCGATTTTCCACAAATTTTCAGCACAACTTTCACGGGTTACACTTTCGCATTTTTGAGCCCACCTCCATTTCGTCATTGCTGAGTCAACGAGTCCGAAAACCGTCCAAAGTTACGGTATTCCACGGGACACCAAATAACAAACATGGTAATAATCACAGCGCAGCCCTTTTTATGGGGCCCACATCCTGGACAGTACACGCACTCCACCGGACAGTCAGGAGATTATTTTTATTTTTGGGTACTCTTTTGTTTCTCTCTTGCTCGCTCTCTCTCGCTCTCTCTCTCTTTTTCTCTCCCTCTCCGTTTTTTGAATGAGTTTGACGCCGAATTCTGGCCACGCCACCACCGCCGCGATAATTTCCTATTTTGCGCACCCAGCGGATGCATATAAAGTGAGAATTTTTACGAGTCAAACCTAGATGATGTCAGTTGTCGTTTTTAATCTCTAGTTTTGTACTAAAATCGGCCTTAAATTCGCAAATAATCTCTGCTAGCTTGCCCTGAACCCCCTGGGTTTTTGGATTTCTAAATAATATCTGCTGGCTTGCCTCGGTTTCCAGATTCCTACAGAACTGCTGCTCGCTTGCCCTCATCTTACTCTTCAAAATCCTTCAGAATCACTGCTAGCCTGCCCGGTTTTTCCGGTTTCCTAAGGAACTTCTGCTAGCTAGGCCCGATTCGCTGGAAACTCCTAGCGAATTACTGCTAGCTTCGAACGCTTGCGGAACCGATGGGGGGATCCCAAAGGCCCTCTGCTAGCCTGTCCCGATTTTCCGAACATTAAAACAAACATTTTTGATGATGGTGGTATTTGTTGTGCCTGATTATCATAATACGCGTCTGTGCGCTGTGCTTTGTGCCCGGAACCTGTAAACTAAGCGATAAATCTAGGGGCATGGTTTATGCGCATTTACGGAATTTTCACGTTCCAAAACAATCTCTGCTAGTTGCCCTTTTTCCTCAATGACCGGTGCTAATCTGACTCTGCTTTTCCTCAACAGTCTCTACTAGCTTGCCTTTCCCCTATAAGGATTTATGCTAGCCCTCCTCTCTAGCTGGATCTCTCTCTCTCTCTCTCTCTCTCTCTCTCTCTCTTTCGCGCTCTCTCTCGCGGTCTCCTCTCTCTCATCATCCTCAACAATCTCTGCTAACCTGCCCTTGCCTTCAAATGATCTTAGCTAGCTCCCTCTCTCCCTCTCTCTATCTCCCTCTCTCTCTCTCTCTCTCTCTCTCTCTCTCTCTCTTCCTCTTTCTCAGCAATCTCTGCTAGCTTGTCATCCCGGTCCTCAAATGATCTCTGCTAGTTAGCCCTAATTTCTGTCCACTTTCCGCAACACTACTATGTTCACAGCTTAACTATAGGTTTGCCCGACAGCCGCTAGCAGGAGATTTTGTTGTCTATTTGTCTATTTGCTTTTTGCTTACGTCTTCTTGGGCGAAAGTTGTGAACAGCTTCAGGTTGTTTGCACTAGTTTAGACTGGGAATTGGGTGTTAAAGAGACTGGAAAGTCAGGAAAAATGGAGACCGGGCAAAAAGCTGCCACTTGGAGGATAAGAAAGCGGAATCTGTCTGTTCCACTCCCTTTAAAGCCCCGCCCAGTGCCTCCGGAATCTGGCGCTGACCATCGGCTATGCGTTTTTCTGTTTACACACCACCTGAAAGTGCCAACATCCTGGCTGGCGTTTAACAAGCGATTAGGGTGTGGTCAGTTGGGTATTTAAGGGGGTTTGAAAAAGGTTGAGCCACCCACTGTTAAATGTCAGAAATTTCTTTATCTTTTTCAGACTCGAAAACCTTCCAAATTAATTAGCAAAAAATTAAATTACATTTTCAGAACCACTTCCGCTTCAGCTTCAGCCAAAATATGCAGTCGACAAAATTGTGAGTATTTTTAAGGATTTAATGTTTTTACAAACCGTTTATAATCGGCCTTAAGAAGAGTATGGGCAGGCTATCAGAGTTTTTTTGAGGTAAACTGGAGTTTTTCAGCCTCCTCCTCGCCATCCTCCTCCTCACCGGCATCGCACTGATCGACCAGGTCGACGCCCAGTACTACAGCAGCTACTATGTACGGATTAGGCTTGGTTGGGCTGAGGCTTACGCTTCGGCTTAGGCGCATACTTAAGCGTAGGCTTGGGCGTAGCCTTAGGCTTAGCTTGGTTTCCAGTCAAAACCTTCATTTTAGTACCCATACTACAGCAGCGGCTACAACTACGGGTCGTACTACCCCTACTACTACAATTCGTACTACTACCCCTACACCTATGGATACTACGGATATGGTAAGGCATAGAAAAGCAAAGAACCTCTGCTAGCCTGCCCTCTCCTCTTCCTCAACAATCTCTGCTAGCCTGCCCTCTACTCTTCCTCAACAATCTCTGCTAGCCTGCCCTCTCCTCTTCCTCAACAATCTCTGCTAGCCTGCCCTCTCCTCTTCCTCAACAATCTCTGCTAGCCTGCCCTCTACTCTTCCTCAACAATCTCTGCTAGCCTGCCCTCTCCTCTTCCTCAACAATCTCTGCTAGCCTGCCCTCTACTCTTCCTCAACAATCTCTGCTAGCCTGTCCTCTCCTCTTCCTCAACAATCTCTGCTAGCCTGCCCTCTCCTCTTCCTCAACAATCTCTGCTAGCCTGCCCCCTCCTCTTCCTCAACAATCTCTGCTAGCCTGCCCTCTCCTCTTCCTCAACAATCTCTGCTAGCCTGCCCTCTACTCTTCCTCAACAATCTCTGCTAGCCTGTCCTCTCCTCTTCCTCAACAATCTCTGCTAGCCTGCCCTCTCCTCTTCCTCAACAATCTCTGCTAGCCTGCTCTTTTCAGGCAAACGCGAGGTGAACTGGAACGACGCTCCGCAGCAGCAACAACAGCAGCAGGTCCATAACCCCAGAAACTCTCGGACATTCAAATTTTAGATGCCACAAGTCCAAGGAGGTCAGGGCCAGCATTAAAAAGAGCTTCAAGCAGATGTTGAGGACTCAAGACAAAAAATTGCCGCATTTTCAGGAATGTATAAAGTTTTTTAATCTTTTAAAAAATGTTTATAGCGTGTTAAGTAGTTCATTAGAATTAGCTGGCGTAATCAAATTCCAACGGGCTCAATACCGCAAAAAATTCTCAATAATTTACGAAAATCAAAAATTTTTAAGGTATTTTCTACCATTTTTATTGAAATTTCTTGACTACCAACCAATTCATCATTTTTAAACTTACCTTTTATTCAAAAATTTTTTTCTTTATCGGATAAGCTATTTAACAGGCTAAAAAATACAAAGAATGTACAGAAAATTCGAAAAATATTTATTTCCAGCCAAATTGAGCACACAAACGTACAACTATTTACATTTATTTCACGATTGCGGACGTGGGGAGCTCCTGGACGCCGCAGACGTTCTTTCCACGATACAGTCTGTAAAAATATGCAAATTACCGGCTAAATAAACTAGAAAGACTAAAGACTACAAAAAATACAAACCGGAAGTAGCCCTGCTCGCCCCAGTTGGTTCCCCACGAGTTTTTGATCGTCCAGTAGGGCTGAAAAAAAAACAAGTTTTATTAAAATTGAGAATTGCCTTGATTTAAACTAACAAAATTTGCATAAATGTCTGTATTTAAGAACTAGGGAATTTATTTAGTAATAAAAAGTATTAAGTTATCGTACCTTTCCCTTTTCCTCTCCGTAGCCGACGATTAAAATACCATGATTGAGCATGAACGGCTCGCAGAACATCTGAAAAGAATAGCTAGAGAGGGCAGGCTAGCAGAGAAAATTTAGGAATAAAAAATCACCTTCCAGGGATGCGTAATGCCATGGCGGTAGAATTGGAGCGTGTTGGCGTTCAGGCCTGTATAAATGGTTTAATTTTGTTCCCGTTTTCTGTTTTGAATATTTTCAGGCTACATTCCACAATCTCCTAACCACGCATACACACACGGAGCGGCTGGCCGTAGCGCGTGAAATGGGCCCATTGTGGGCCCTTTTTCTGGGCCCTTCCCGGGCCATTTTGACAGCTAGCGGCTAGCCGCCAAAGCGTACACTTTACTCCGCAAATACGCCCCGGAGTTCAAGGAATTTTGTGTGACGCTCTTGCATGGGAGCTCAAAGAACCTTTGCTAGCTGCACCAATTCCTCCGAAATCTCCGCTAGCTTGCCTTCCTCCAAAGAAAACATGAAAAAGGTGCCTCTCTTCTAGCGTTTCGCCAAGATTTCCTAAAAAATCTCTGCTAGATTGCATTCCGGTAAGAATTCTCAAAGAATTTCTGCTAGTTTTCCATGGGTTTCTAAAATTTCTTAAAGAATCTCTGCTAGCTTGCCTTGCTGTAGTTTTTGCCGTAATTTGATTGCCAAAAAGAATCGTGTACTTTGTGAAGAACCTTGATGCATAGGATATCACGTGAGGGATGTCCCTAAGAATCAGATCTGGTCTTGTCAAACAGATATCTGAGCTGAACCGAGCTTTTCCTATCGCTCTCTCGCCCTCTCTCTCTCTCTCTCTCTCTCGCTCTCTCGCTCTCTCTCTCTCCTGCCGGGTTTCGTGAACTTTGAAGACGATTTCCGTCTGTAAGACTGATGTTTAAAATGTGATAAGTGGTGTTAAAAGTTTCGAAAATACGGAAAGATTTCCTAAAAAATCTCTATTAGTTGTTACGGGGCGGGCTTGTGATTGGCAGGCTATCGGAGATTATTTAGGAGGCCTGGAAGCCTGGACGTGCTAGCATAGACGATTTCGGAAAGTGATAGTGTTGACTGTTGAGTGACGCCACCGCGGTCATCTAATACACCTAAGAGTGCTAGCTAGCAGAGAACATTGAGGAACCGGTGAGGTTAGCTGTTGGCTGACGGCTAAATTACTAATTCTGGAACCTAAGCTAGATACTGCCTAGCTGCCCGCTCCCCTTCCTCAACAATCACTGCTAGGCTGCCACCTAATTCCCCCCGCTGAATCAGATGACACGCGTTTCCGCGTGTCATCATTCCGTGATATTTCTGGGGCGCCCAGCGCGGCGCGTGTGTTTTTTCTGGTGTCCACCCCCGCTGTTTGCCCGGGATCGATCAGATCTGGATTTCTAGATCTGATGATCTGGCTGGCTGTGGATGTGTGTTGCCTCCCCCGGGGAAACACTCGAAAATCCTTGTCGTCCCTGGTTGGCCCACCCCCCCAGAACCTTGATATCAACTAGGTCCCCCCACTCCAGGTTCCTGCGCGATCAAAATAACTCGTGTCACTCAGATTGTCAGCTTTCGTTCAGCTAGACGGTTCCACGCGTTAATCCTAATCCTGAGCCCAAGCCCACCAATCGACTAGGCTACCGTACTCCCGGATTACCGTACCAATTTGAGGACAAGCTACCGTATTCCTATCGTTTGACTCGCTATTTCGCGCATCTACTACCGTATTCCCAGCCTTTCCTTCATCCCATAAAACCTTAAAAATGCCCCAGTGGCGCCATCGCTTCAGCGACATGACGAACAAGAAGATGAAGCCGACGGCTGCGGCCTGCGCTTCTACCGGAAACTCAGGGGAGCCGAGGGCCAGATTACGGTAAGGAATTTGGCCAATGATTTCTGCTAGCTTGCCTGGGGTTTTGGTAAATTCTAAGGAAGCACTGCAAGCTTGCCCATGAGCTTTTCAAAATTCTACAAGACGTATGCTAGCTTGTCTAATTTTAATTTTCCAGGTTCCAAAACAAGAAGCCCCTCTGCCTACAGTACAACCTCCCCTCCGGCCGCCGTGCCATGATGAAGGCCAAGCGGAAAGAGCGTGAGTTGTTTTACGTGGGCTTAGGCTTAGGCTCAGGCTTAGGCTCAGGCGTAGGCTTGGGCTTCGGCTTGGGCTTCGGCCTACGCTTAGGCTTGGCTTAATAAAGCTGTTTTTTAGCTTCCCTCGTCTACGCCCTTGTCTTTGGCGCCGTCACCTTCATGAAGTGGATTATTGAGGTTGGATTTCTAGTCTTTCGGTGCTTTTAAAGGACCGATGAAGTTAGATCTTGCTATTTAAACATAAAGGGCCACTATAGGCTAAAATCTACAAAAAAAAACATTCAGACCGCCCAACGCGAGGTGGCCGACTTCCTCCTCAAACCGGTCGACGAGCCGGGCACGGGCAGCCACGAGTACGCTACCAAGGTCTTTATAAAAATAATTAGAGGAAAAGTTACGAAAGGGGGCTAGCAGAGATTCTTGGGGAATATCGGAATATGGCTGGCGAGCAACGCTTTTTGTGAGGGTCAAAACTGGTCTTAAGGCATACGATTGTTAGGCGATCTAGCAGAGAATCCCGAGGAAAGCCAGAGAGCGCTAGAAAGAGAGAGAGAGCGAGAGAGAGAGAGAGAGAGAGAGAAAGCTATCCATCTTTTTCAGAAGCGCCCATCGCTTGTCGGCGGCTTCAGCCGGCCGACTTCCCGACGGGGTTCTGCGTGTGGCGGCTATGCGGAAAGTGGGTTTAGCTTTTTCAAAGCAAAAACTTTTTATAGTTAAAATTAGCTAAAATAAGACGTAATTGTACGAATTTCTAGGTAGTGGAGAAGAGGATCTGCTCAAGACGGCGGCTCGGCTTGCTCTTCACGAGAGGTTCGCCCAAGGCACGAGCACTGCTTGAGAAACAGGCCGCGCTCTCGTACATAGACTTGGATTGGGATTAGGCTAGTCTCGCCCGTCCAGTCCCTTGAAAGCTCCAGATTTTGTTCACTTTCTTCCCCCGATCAAGAAAGTCCACTTCACTCCCCTTTACACTTTCATTTTTGCGAAATATATTGTACATATTAGCCCGATACTGTATATACCACCGATCAAAAAGATCTCAGCCCGTTGCCCTTCTTTTTGAATCGCTGTGTTTTCTTTGCGTTTTGTTGACTAGTGGACGCATAGAAATAAACTCTATTCTAATTTAGGTTTGACAGGCGAGCACTTAAGATGCCTTTCAGCTACCGTAATCCAAAAAACAGCTTACCAATGCTAATCGGTCCTCGTTGCGCTAGCCAAGCTTGCATTTGCACCTCATCGTGCGGAATCTCAACCGAGTCGTTGATGTAGACGCGGAGGTCCTGAAATATTGGAGTTATTCAAGGGATAGCGACAGGAAGAAGCTAATGAAAACCTAGCCAGGCTAGCAGAGATTGTTCAGGAAGTGGAGAGCAGGCTAGCAAAGATAAATGTGAATTTCCGACTTTTTTGATGATTTTACAGGTGCCCTCTTGCCGTCCACTATACGGATAGTCGTCCTCGGATTCCAGGCCGCCCATGCGCATGATTTCTCTAAAAATGGGGCTAAATTTGTAGAATAACGATACAAACTTGTAAGCATTGCTGGGGAGGCCTCCATTACAGCCCTGATCGAGTCCGTCGCAGTCGACTAGCTCTTGCTCGCTGAAATAGGAGGGATAGAGAACGAGAGAGACACAGAAACCGAGAGAGTGAGAGCAGGGCGAGAAAAGAGAGAGAGAGAGAGAGAGAGAGAGAGAGAGAGAGAGCAAGAACGAGAGAAACAGAAAAGCACACCTTAATGACACCAGCTTTCCCTTGGCTAGGTACCACTGTCCCTCGACGTTGCCGGTGGTAGAGAAGGCCCAACAGGAACCTGAAAATAAAAGTTAACGAACGAGAGAGAGAGAGAGAGAGAGAGAGAGAGATAGAGAGAGATAAGTTAAACCAACCGCATGAAGCCTGATTCTTGACCCCAGTGACGGCTCCCTTGTCGCGCCAATCAATCGATTCCGGGAGGTCTTCGAGCGTGACACCGTAATCCTCGATGTCGACCTTCTTATTCGGCTTCGCCGGCTCGCCCCAGATTTTTGGAAGGTACACCTAAAATCGGGGGTAAAAAATACTGGAAACCAGGATGGAGTTAGGCAAGCTAGCAGAGAGCATTAGAAAAATTCACCTTCGCAAACTCCTTCCTCGTCATGTCCGAATATTTCGTTACACCGTAGACGGCGGTTCCTTAAAAAATATGCTAATTTTTGGGTCTGAATACCCTACCATGCTCCCGTTTCTGCAAATTCTTCGCATATGCAAGGTTCCGCTTGAAGTTACGGAAACGTTGGAGTACGGTGTGCTTGTCTTTGTAGGAGCGGTCGTAGCTGGAATGCAATGATTACGTAAGCCTAAGTCTAAGCATAATCCTAAGCAAAGCCGAACTCACTTCTCTGAGTAGTCGGCAAACATATTCCAAGCGGCAAAGTCGCTACGCTTGATATGGGCTGTGACAGCCACTCTGCCACCATCGGTCGTCATGAACGCACGCTCGTTTTGGAGATGTGCCCTGAAATTCATTGATTTTTATCCCAATGCTCTCTGCTAGCCTGCCCTCTCCTCTTCCTCAACAATCTCTGCTAGCCTGCCCTCTCCTCTTCCTCAACAATCTCTGCTAGCCTGCCCTCTCCTCTTCCTCAACAATCTCTGCTAGCCTGCCCTCTCCTCTTCCTCAACAATCTCTGCTAGCCTGCCCTCTCTTCTTCCTCAACAATCTCTGCTAGCCTGCCCATTACTCTGCCACAAAATCCCCTACGCTTTGAAGAAGTTTTTCTTCGTGTTGTGCGTCTTCAACTCGTCGGCTTTATGCAAAACTGGCTCTTCGCAGATGAGGGGCTAAAAATTCTCATTCACCTTCTATTGTTTTACTGGCCTCAATATGCTCGTAGTTCTCCCAGACGCGGCGGGTAATCTTGGCCACACATTTCTGAAAAAGGAATTTTTGCGAAAAAAAAACAACCAAAAACACAAGTAAAAAATTAAACTGGCGCTAAGTATCGTTGTAAAAATAGTTAATTAATTAAAAAATTTCCACTCACTTTTTCACGTGCTGTCAGCCGGCAATCGGTTCGCTGGATGTCGTTACCCTGAAAAAAAAAATTGATATTTTTTTGGACTGAAGGATTCGAAATTTCGAGCATTTAGCAATCCTTAGCAGTCTAAGAAACGAGTAAAACACTACCGTTTTCCGGCAATCGCTCTGCCCGAGCACCAAGTTCAGGGTGTAGCGCTCGCCGTTGACGAGCTGCTTATGAGAGTCGTCGATTCGGACAAAGTCCCACTAAAAAATAGGCATATTTGGGATCAAATAATCTCTGCTAGGCTGCCCTAGACTCGCTAGCTATCCTTTCTCTTCCTACAGGATCTCTACTATCCTGCCAATCCCTTGATTTTTCATTCAACGCAAATTCAAGGATAAAAATTAAAATCATACCTTAAACAAATCGTTCGACTGCTGATTATATTCCCTGATGGCTTGATGGGCGAAATTCTGAAACATCTCGTCGTTCGCCTCATCTCCAATCTTCTTGTTGGCCCCCAACAAGGTGGCCGCGGATGCTAATGCGATCGAGTTGAGGAGGAACGGCCAGTTCATCCTGAAAAAAGCAAAAATTTTCATTTTAGAAATTTTAGCCGAGCAAAAATTTGAAAATCACACAAAAAGGAGCTTCAGGCAGTTTCGAAATCGTTTAAGGGACGAAAATGCTCTTTAAAACGAAATATAAGCAAAGAAAAATGTTCCGTCTCGATTTCGGGGATCATGGGATCGGGAGAAACCCATTTTGGCCCCGGAGGAAGAGCCCTGAGCGTCGTTTCGGAGGGAACACATTTGAATGACCCACCCGAGGGGATTCAGGAAGGAAAAGGGCATTTTAAAGGGACTAGGAAGTGGCGGGCAAGCCGAGTTTGATGAGGAAGAGGGGGAGGCAGGCTAGCAGAGATTGTTGAGGAAGAGGAAAGGGCAGGCTAGCAGAGATTGTTGAGGAAGAGGAGAGGGCAGGCTAGCGGAGATTGTTGAGGAAGAGGAGAGGGCAGGCTAGCAGAGATTGGTGAAGAAGAGGAGAGGGCAGGCTAGCAGAGATTGTTGAGGAAGAGAAGAGGGAGGCTAGCTTGAGATTCCTTGGGTAGCTAAATCCTTCCACCATCCCAGACTTGCAATTAGGTGTACGTGCGTGGGGTAAAAGCTTCCAGAATTTGCTGCTCCCCATAAATAAGCAATTAGGGCTGAGGGGGAAGTGGGGAGATTGAAAGAGGTGCACGGCAGGCTAGCAGAGACCACTTAGAAGAAATAAAATTGTGAAAATAAAGAAACCGGTGCCCTTAAGGGGAGAATAATTGGGTGAGAGCGCCCAGAGCAATAGCCTTTTTTGTTGGGTTGGATAAGTGCCCTGTTTCGGGTCACAATGGGCCTCTTCACTGGGCCCTGTCTCTCTCTCTCTCTCTCTCTCTCCCCACATTGGATAAGGGCAAATTAGGGCCCCCACGGCCCGGCGAACGCCCTATTTTTCGGAGAAAAAATGGCTGTGACGATTCCTATTGTTTTGGGAGAGAAGCAGGCTAGCAGAGCTGCTTGAGGAAAGCAAATAAATCCATTTAGTCGGGACTTATGCTCCGTGGTAAGCCCAAGCGGACTTTGGCCTAGGCTTGGGCTTCGGCGTAGGCTTAGCCATAGGCTTAGGCTTAGGCTTTGCCTAGGCTTAGGTTAGGCTTAGGCTTAGGCTTAGGCTTAGGCTTAGGCTTAGGCTTAGGCTTATGCTTAGGCTTAGGATTAGGCACAGGCTTCAGATTAGGCTTGGGCTTGGGCTAGGCTTGGGTGCAGACTTAGGCTTACGTCCACGTGTTTTAATAGTTAACAGCGATTTTTGGTATTTTTTAAAAATTCCAAGAAATAATAGCATGTGAGAATTCTCAGCTCAAAAAGCGCAATCAGAACCAAGCAGAGATTTTTCAGGAATTTAAAGCTAGCTGGCAGAGATAATTATGAAAAGCCAAGCCAACCGAAGAAAATGAAATGAAGAAAACCTGATCCGGACCAATTTGGATCAACAAAATCGCCTGAAAATAGTACATATAAAGGGCATGGGGTAGAAAAGGGAGATCGCCAGTGGTGTTGAGCTGAAGAAATGGCCACAGCTGGCATCCAGACTGCCCATCCACAAGGTCACACGACGACAGTTGTGTGTAGCACAACGGAGAGATCCAGTAGAAGAAACTGATTGAGAAATGACCACTTGAGGGGGTATTGTAGCAGGGATAGCTGGCGGAAGTCACCTTAAAGGAAGCTTAGGTTATGGCGAAAATTTAGGCAAGGCTTAGACTTAAAATTTTTAGGATAAAAGTTGTCCGATTTCACAAAATACATTCTTCACAGCATTTTCACGAAATTCTTCCTGTTCCGGATCGAGCTCGAGCTCAAAAATATGTAGCCTTGGGGCCTAAACGTGTTCCCTCGCGTGGCAAAGTCCGCCGCGCCGAATATTGACGAAGAAAGCTCAAATTACGAGGCGCCGCTGTGGCTAGAAAAGGTGGGGCCGGGATTTCGAGGCTACGTAGGTAAGAGGGAAAATTCGCAAAGGATCTCTGCTAGTTTTCTAGTTTCTCCTGGGTTGTGGATGGCGTCGGGTAAAGTCTGGATTTTTGGATTAAGGGATGTATCGCCGGGCGAAAGCACATCTGGAATGAGCCCCGGCTAGGGCCCCCGGGGGCTCATCTGATGAGATGTGGAATTCGGAATTAGTTGTTATCGTGCAACTTCATGAATCGATCCTAGGAGAAACGAGGAGCATTTAGGGCAATGCTAGTTTTTGTCGGGGGGTTTGAAGAGAAAGAAAAATCATCAAAACAAAATGGCTTTGCAGTCTAATCAAAGGGATTATGATGAAAGCGTAGCCTAGCAGAGATTGTTGAGGAACACCAAAAGGATAAGCTAGCAGAGATTTTTTAGGAAAAGAAAGTCCAGCCGCCAAGTGAAAAGCAGTCAGGGGTTCGGCGAGTAGAGCAGTGTGTTCGAGCAGTAGACTGACAAATCGGGGGCGCCATGTCCCAGCGGACCTCACCGACAAGGGCCATCGGCCATTTTGTTCGACCCCGACCCCTCCGGAGGGCACCACTTGAGTATTTATTTGCTTCGAAAATCCTGGGGGCGGGGGTCGGAATTGTTATAGAAGACGGGCTAGCGGAGATTACCGGAGAAAAATCTGTATAAATCCATCTCCATGGCCAAATAGGGGTGAGAGCAAGCTAGCGGAGACCATTTCAGAAGAGGGCTAGTAGAGATTATTTTGGAGGAAACGGCCTATGGCCAGATATTTTTGCAATAAGGAGAGCAGGCTAGCAGAGATTTTTGAGTGAAAGCGGATTTCAAGCCCTATAAATGAAGCTAAAAACCGAAATCTAAAGAAAATACGGCCAAGAGCAGGCTAACAGAACCCACTTTGGAGAAACGGCAGGTTAGCAGAAATCATTTGCCACCATTTCAGCGAATTAAACCTCAAAATAATACTAAAGCATTGTCGAGATGGCATTGCAAAGAGCAGTTCCTCCATCTCCACTCGCTTTGCCTTGAGCTTTGAGTGTTTGGGCAGGAAAAAGCGAAGTGGCCCACCTAGGGGCCCACCCACTTGGCCCCTCGTAATTCGAACCCTACACGCACACCTCGATCCCAGCGTCCTGCCATTTATCATCATAACAGCGCGGTGGATTTGGGCGTAATCTGAAATTGGGGTGAAACAAAAGTCGGGGTATACGGTATGCAAAACTACGAGATGCGCCCAAGAACGGAGCCAGAAAACCTTATTTGTCGGTGTTTAAACGGCTATAATTTATCTGGTTACCACGCGCTCTAGAAAACAATTAATACAGGGTATTCGAGCTCTAAAAAATCAACTCGACATCCCGGCGGCTCCGTATTACACCAGGCAAAAATGAAGCTAATGGTGGAAATTTAAGTTCTAGCATTTCTTGATATAGAAATTTTATACTCTAAGGCTAAAAGGTAAAAAAGCAACTATATAGCCTATTCTAGCCTTAAATATTAATTTAACTACCCGAAACTCAATTTTATGCTTCCAGTAAGTCATTCGGACTCTCCGCAAAAAAAGCTTTTCAAAGACCTTTCAAAGTGAAATTCACCGGGTGTTTGGATTTTTGTAGCATAGCTTTGTGTCTATTTTCAAAGTTACATCAGAGTTTTTGTTTTTAAAGGCACGTTTAAGGCATCTTTTGCCCGATTTTGTATGCAATTTCAGGTCGTTCCAAGCCCTTTTGCTGGTTGCCGCCTATCGCGCGCCCTTTTGTCGTTTGTAGTCGGCGTACACGAGTGAATAAGCCGCCCGCCGTTCCGGTCACCGCTCGAGCGTTCCTTCGCCGGTTTCACGTTGGTTTAGTAATTTTTCAAAATATTTTCGATATATAACTCGTTTATAAGCTCCTTCTCTTTCTTTTAATACCTATATCTATTTCCAGGATGTCGATGTGCACCGATTCGCACGGGCGCAAGGTCATCGTCGTCGACAACGGGACTGGGGTGCTTTTTTTTTGAAAATTTTATATGATTTTAGTTTGTAAAATGTGGGTACGCCGGCGCCAACTTCCCGGCCCACATATTCCCGTCGCTCGTCGGCCGCCCGATCGTTCGTTCGACGCAACGGATTGGCGGGATTGAGATAAAGGTGTGTAATAATTCGAATTTTACATACTTTGGCGGCTACCTACGTTCAGAAAAGTATTGTTTTTACGCTTTCCTAGTAAAAAGGTAATTGAAAGTAAAACTTTCCTAGATCCCGGAAAAACAGCTAATCTAAAGTTTTATTTTGAGGACCTAATGGTCGGCGAGGATGCGGCAAACCTGCGGCACATGCTCGAAATCTCGCACCCGATGGACAACGGAATTGTGCGGAATTGGGATGATATGGGCCACATTTGGGATTACACTTTTGGACCCGAGAAGCTCGATATTGACCCCAAGGTGCGTTTTCGGCTTCAAAATCTTGATTTTTTTCTCTTTCAACAACTTCGGTTGTTTTTAGCCATTTGAATCTATTCGGAACCTTCAAAAAAAAAAAGGGTTTTCGACGCGAAATTGCTGTTTTTGTGGAACTTAAATATGAGAAGTTTTTGCTGCGAGAAAAATGGAACGTCTAATTTTAAAAATATCTGGTATTTTTAAGATCTGTTATGTGTTTCAATCGATTTTACTTTTTATTTTCACCTTGCCTTCCAAAAATCTTTTTTGCTCGTTTTCGTCCCTCATACGCTCGTCGCTAATCCCAAAATTGCCAGACGTTTGCTGCCCCTCAATTTTAGCGACTGAAAGTTAGGAAAGCCAGGGTTGAGCTTTAATACAAAATAAAATCGAGTTATTTTTGGTCATTTTCTACCCTCCATTTTTCAGGACTGCAAAATGCTGCTCACCGAGCCGCCGCTAAACCCGCAGGCGAACCGCGAGAAGATGATCCAGGTCATGTTCGAGCAGTACGGCTTCCACTCGATCAATATTGCCATTCAGGTATGAAAATCATCGTTTTGTATTGTTTTAAATGATTTAACACCCTTTATTTATATCATTTTAGGCCGTGTTGACGCTGTACGCGCAGGGGCTGCTCACCGGAGTGGTGGTCGATTCTGGGGACGGTGTGACGCATATTTGCCCGGTTTACGAGGGGTATGTAGAGCTATCTATCTTATTTGCAATTGCTTTAGAACCGATTTTAATCGCTTAAAACGTTCTTTTCAGATTTGCGATGAAGCACCTGACGCGCCGCCTTGACATTGCCGGCCGGGATATTACAAAGTATTTGATCAAGGTATTTTTTTATAATTTGATATTATGATTTTTTTTTTGTAGCTGCTCCTGCTCCGCGGCTATAACTTTAACCACACTGCCGATTTCGACACCGTGCGCATCATGAAGGTGGGATTTTGAAAAAAAATATGTTTATGGATTTTTAGGAGCAACTCTGCTACTCCGCCTATGACGTTGAGCAAGAGCAAAAGCTGGCTCTCGAGACGACCGTGTTGACGCGGCAGTATACGGTAGGTTTTTGGCTTTTTAAAGGGGAAGGCTCAAGAGCCTCTTGCTATACGTAGTGTAAAAATTATGAATTTCTTGTTATTACATGAATAATTTGTGGTTATAAAAAAAAGCGCGTTTTTTCAGCTTCCCGATGGCCGAGTGATTCGCGTGGGCGGTGAACGTTTTGAGGCCCCGGAAGTGTTGTTCCAGGTTGGTTTTGAAGACGTTGCTCTGAAATTCGTTATTTTTAGCCCCATTTGATCAATAGCGAAAAGCTGGGCCTATCGGAGTTGCTGTTCAACTGCATCCAGTCGGCCGACATTGGTAAGTTTCTCATAATTCGGCCGAGATTTTTTGATTCCAGACACTCGCCCCGACTTCTACAAGCACATCGTCCTCTCCGGCGGCACCACAATGTACCCGGGGTATATTTTAGACGTTAAGAATGTTTTGTGCATTTTATGACTTTTTGAACGGGTTCTTTTTAAATAAAAATTGACATTTTAGATCTATTTAATTTTACAGACTCCCCTCCCGACTGGAGCGCGAGCTGAAGCAGCTGTGGCTGGAGCGCGTCGCCAAGGGCAACACCGATCAGTTCAAGGTATCGAAATTTACTTGGTTCTTAAAGGGGCTCAGAAGTCAAAATTCGTGTGTGCGGGGATTGAACCTACTGGTCAAAAAACGAAAGGGTCACTGCCGAGAAGTGCCAAAAACGTGATTTGATTGCGAAAAAACGTAAAATGTTTGAGAAAAACCGAATTCTTTTTGGGGCGAAAACGATTTTTTTGAGTGCGCGACTATTACATGTCGTAATGCCTTGTAAGGCACCCAATCTCTCGATCTCGGTGATCCTCTGGCCAATTTTCATAATTTAAAAGTCTAGAATGATCAAAATTCATTGAGAATTCCAAAAATAGTATCAGAATTTTTAAATTCAAGCGTTTTCGCGTCCAAACAGAGGCAAAAGATCCTGCGGCGCGGTCGCGTTGCGGCCGCATCTGGCTATTTGCCAGGAATCACAGCAGGGGGCCGTGGACCAGATTTCAGAGCCTCTTTAAAGTTTTGATTTCAGAAATTCAAAATCCGCATCGAAGCCCCTCCCCGGCGCAAGAACATGGTCTTCATGGGCGGAGCGGTGTTGGCGAATTTGATGAGGGATCGTGATGAGGTGGGCTTTTTATTTAATACTTTGTTGTTTGATTTTTAATTTTTATTGATAGAAATTTTTTATTGAGCTCTTTGAATGGATTGGTTGATTGAATATGGGGATGATGTGGATGTCTGAAAAATTACGAAAAAAACTTACTATTATGATGGAATTGGAAAAATTGTTCTTGATCTTCTCGATTGCAAGTTTTGAAACCTTTTCTCGCTACCGTAGTTGAGGGATATATTTAAAAATGTATATTCTAGAAGAATAATATCAAAAGAGTCTTTTTCCGCTTTTAGATTTTTTTTATTGAAAGCGCTATTAATTAGATTTTTTGAAGCGATGAGACTTATTGGGAGTATTTTTGATATAACCAAATTGTCGAATTGTCTTAAAGTATTTATTTAAAAAAATAATTTTTTCAGTTCGAAAAATAGTGAGAAAAGTGCAGATTCTGACCTTTCAAAATAGTTTTTTATTAGCTTGAGCATTTGGGAATTTTTGAAATCTATTCATCCAGAATATCCCATTTTCTCAAATCACTCCTCACTATTTTTAACGCCACTTTTCCAGGACTTCTGGGCCTCAAAGCAGAAGTACGAGGAGGAGGGGCTCGCCCGGATCATGCAGCAGCTCGGGATGAGCCAGTGAACGGAGAGCAGCGGCTTCTGAGCATTAGCTTCTTGACCTGCTTCCCCTGTGCACATATCCTAATCTCAACAACTCCACCCTGTTAGGTACTCTTCTCCTTCTTCTCATTCTCTCCGTCTCCCCGCTCGACTTCTGGTTGTGATACGTACTCCCTCTCTATCTACACATCACACACGAATGATAGCCATTTTGCTCACGTCTCCCCGCAGCCTCTAAAAATTCTCAAAAAGCCTTGCAGTTGTGTGCTTTAATTTGGATTTAGTTTACGTTAAATTATTCCCCCACCTCTGGTCTTTTTATGCCTTAATTTATCGATTGGCCCCCGGGCGTGACGAGTTGGTTTTAAAAATTTTAAGGCGCTTTTTACGGCAGTTAAAACGTTCCAAAATCTTTCGGAAATCCCTTTAGAACCTGGATAAAAATTTAAGCTCTTAAAAACAAACAAATTTTTTTTTTAAGAGCTTAAAACTTTTAAATCACTTGAAAACCCGCTTGCATTTCCCGGAGCCCATTAGTGCATGACCCCTTTAAATTATCCACTAAATTATCCGATTCAGCTTTTAAACCACCAGCCCGACCATTCCACACGCTTTACCGTACCCCCCTCGTTCTGCTGTGCTATATATCTTGTTTTTTGCTGTTGTATCTCCCCGCCCTCCAAATGATCGATGAGTTGATTCACTTTTCAAACTGCCTTCCGCCACCTGTTGTAAAGTTTTTTTTTGCCGAAGTGTGCACCTCTGGAGTCTCTCGTGAATAAAATGCCTGCTTAATGAGCGCCGAAGCCAAGATGATCAACTTCCCGCCGCCCAGCTGATCAATCACGCCCAGCTTTTCTTAAAGCTTCCCCGAAAAAGCAACCCGCTAAAGGGATTGTGACCCGAAGGGGGCAAACATCCGGGGGCAAGCCCGCGCGATAGATATACCCGCTGGCTACCCCCCAGGTTCACTAGATAAACGAGGGGCGCCTTTTGAAGAGCCCCCAAGAAACTGTTAGCATTCGGAAGATGAATGGGAGGACAAGTGGGTGTGCCCCCACTGCTTAGGTATTTGGATAGAGCCCATCGGCTACCCTGGGCCGGCTTTGGTCGTCCTCTGGCTTGTTGGGCTAATGAGATTACGATGTGTTAGAGGTATGGGATGATTCTTGGGTGAAACTGTTCTCTGCTAGCATTCGCCGGACGGATTCCTCATAAATCTCTGCTAGCCTGCCCTCTCCTCTTCCTCAACAATCTCTGCTAGCCTGCCCTCTCCTCTTCCTCAACAATCTCTGCTAGTCTGCCATACTGAATTAACCTAATTAGGCATTTAGCGGCTTGTAAAGGATATTTAAAGTAGCCACTCGTCTTAACGATGTCTGCGCTGATTTTCCAAAAATCCAGGTGCGCACCAGTACCACTTAAGTCAAGGACTCGTTAACAAGGCAATCTGCCCTGTTCTCCGACCACCATAACCCTCACCGTTGCGCAACCGCTTACCCTAATCGGTTATGCAAACATGCCAATGGGAGACTGGGGTAAAAATCGTGGAATATTTGTCATTGCTGGGCCCCAAGGGGGTACAGTTACCATGATGGGCCCCCGGTCAACTTGTTCACCTTGCCCGGGGGGGCTGTGTTTGTAGACAGATCCGCCAAACACAACAAGTGGCCCACGGTTATTTGGGCCGGGTTGGTCCTCCGCGGATTAAGCGCGATATTAATGGCCTCCCGCAGCTTAGCACAACATCTATCGCCGGAAGTGGTGGTTGTCACATTAAAGGGACACGGAAGGATGATGGAAGGAAGGGTACAAGGGCGTGTATAACACGGGCGATTAGCTATGGTTAGGCGTGCTAGCAGGCATCCTTGAGAAAAGGAAGGCAAGTCAGCAGAGATTATTTGGCAGCGCCGGTTTTTTTCTCACATGGAGACGCTTGAGCGACATCTCAGCTTTGAGCACGACCAAGCTTACCTTGTGCAGAATTTTACGCTGATTCCGGACCGGACTGACTACGAACTTTGCTTGATCGGCATTTTGGAGAAGTTGCAGCTCCTTTAGGGCGAAATTGCTGAATATCGCAAAATTTAGACCCCTGCAAAAATTGGAGAAAAATCTGCGTGTTAAAGCTCATTCGAAAGATCATCTTGTTCTGGACAAACTGCACTAACTACTTTTGAGGAAATATTTTATCTCGAATTTTTCTAAGTCTAAACTTTGAAATTTTAAACTTTTTTGCTCTAGCGCTTTAACTTTTTAAAATGCTCTGATTATGCAAATTTGAAAAACATATTCCGCATCAGCGCAAAATTATGCGCAAGGTAGACTTCGTCCTGCTAAACTGGGATGTCAATCAAAACTTGTTAGCCTACGTTCAGGCAATCTAGCCGATACCCTTAAATCCAAACACTTTTTGACCCATCTCCGATCCAATTTTTCCATTTCCAAACCCCAGACGGCCGATGCGGTCATAGGAGAGGATGGGTTGTTGCATGGCCATGTCCCAAATATTTGCATAGAATTGTGGGATGGTATTGGAGGATGAATATCCATCCCCGATCCCCTCCGAAATCGTGCCCGATCGTTGGAAACAGGGCCTCCTGGCTGAGGGGTATCTAATTTCTTCAGGTTCTTCGGGCCAGCCGCTTCGAATTGTCGGCTTTTTGTTCGGCTTCTTCTTGCGCGGCTCGATCGGCTCGGGACCGGTAGGGTCAAAACAGCCTGGAAAATTCGAAAAATGGTGAATTTTAGAGATGCAAATCAGTCTAGAAAAGGATTCAAATGGTTACTGGCAGGTTGCTACTGATTTTTCAAAAATTTCTTTGCGGGCCTGCTCATATTGGCAATTATATAAGGGCAGCATTGGTTTTTACTACTTCCCGCAATCGCGAGAGAGAGAGAGAGATAGAGAGAACGAGCGGGAGCGAGAGATAGGGAGAGAGACAGAGAGAGGCAGAGTGAGGGGGTGAGAGATAGCGAGAGAGATAAAGAGAGATAGAGAGAGACAGAGAGAGAGAGCAAAAGAGAGAGATAGAGAGAGAGAGAGAGAGAGAGAGCGGGAGAGAGAGAGCAAGATAGCGCAGGAAAGTGATGGTCAAAGAAAGTGAGGGTGAGTGGAATAGAGAGCGTGAGATATATAGCGACAGAGAGAGACAGAGAGCGAGAGAGATAGAGAGATTCCGACAAACAAACTGACAACAAGCCCAGCAGATCGCGCGAAAGCGGCTATCGGAAGGGCGTCTACCGTATCCCCATCTATCCCTAGCCCATTCCAAAAGTGGGCGGAGCCACGGGTGGCCACTGGCCACCGCCGGGTCCTAAGGGAGGGCCCTAAGGAGGGGGTGGGCCCTAACGAGGGGCACATCCACTCCAGTCACACTCCAATCGAGCACCATTCCGAGTGAGTACCTCTCCTCCCTTCTAAATATCTGATGTTCAACGTGCAGAGCCTGGCGAGCTCGACCCCGACCCCGGTTGCTTCATCCACCGCGGCGGTGCTCGAGCCAAAGGAGACGAGGTGAGTGCCATCAAGGGGGGATCCATGTCGGCTGGCGACACTCGAGGCTGACACTCCTAAAGGATCTCTGCTAGCCCGCCCTCGACCTTGATGGGGATGGGGGGATACCTCTCATTTGGCATTGAGTGCCGGCCCCGGCCTGGAGGGGTGGCTTTTGAGTTTGTTTCGTGGGGTCAAGACGTTCACTTCATTTTCAGTTTAGGGTCAGCTGTTTGGAGATACAGATTGGATTTATTTTGGTGGCACTATCCCTTTAAAAAGCTCTCTCGAATGGCCGAAGTTTAACTCACGATTTCTGCCTGGCTGGCTAGCACTATAGCTTGAGATCCGTAGTTACCTTTGGCTTCGAGCTGAAACATTCGGTGCTAATGCACTTAAAGGGGGCAGTCCGGATTTTGACTACAATGCGCCCCAGACACCTTTTTTTTTAAGCTCTAAGCCTCTGGAAAATCTAAGCCAAGCTTTAGACTAGGCTAAGCTTATCTTAAGCCACGTTAAGCTGAGCTATAAGCTAAGCCCTAAATGACCCCATTTTGACCTCGTAGGGCAATTTAGAGCTTCAGATAAGCTTAGCTTTCGGGTTAAGGGTAAACCCAAGACCAAACTAAGCATAGTTGGCGCCAAGTTATGGCTAGGATTAAGCTAAAAACTAAGTAGCTTAAGCGCGGTGCCTCGTAAAGGCCTACCATCAATACCGGACAGCCCCCCCCCCCCGGAAGTGCATTAGCACCCAAGGTTCGGCCTTTTGAAAACCCAATTATGCGTTTTTGTATCCAATTAAACTTTTTAAACGTCTGCTTACACCACAATATAAGCTGTCACCATGCCTTTAAAGCGGAAATTGAGATCTAGGGCTACATTTAAACTTCAGTAATTCATCTAATTGTCGCACTCCCGAAACTTACAAAAAGCGTAGCTGTCTAAATCCCTGGTCCTTTTTCGGGGTTTGAAAATGAAGAAAATCATCGAACTTTCAAGTTTTTTATGGTCGCTAGAACCTCGAAATTTCGACTTTCAGAAAATAACGACAATTCTTTAGCACAACCGAACTGTTCAAATGGGACACGCCGCCCGCCTCGTCCGACGACCCGCTTCGCGCCAAGCACACGCTGATGCGAAACAGGAGCTCGTGGACCGATCATTTGCCGTTGTTGACTGGTGGGTAGAACAAGATTTCATTAAAGAGATAGGGGCGGCATAAGTCAATCGATTACGCGAGGGAAAGAAAATGTCTCTGCGCCTCTCCCTGGGCGCCCCTCTCGCCGCGGGACCTGTTGAACCCCCCCTCCCCAAGGGGGGTTCAACAGATGCCGTCCTCATCTCTTTAATGTGTAGGCTGTGGCTTAGACTTAGGCTTAGGCTTAAGCTTGCTTAGGCTGAGGCTGAGGCTTAGGTTACGCTTGGTTTTGTTTCGTCAGACTTTAGCTTACATTTCTGTGCAACTTTCTCTCTCCCTCTCCTCTCTCTCTCTCTCTCTCTCTCTCTCTCTCTCTCTCTCTCTCTCTTTCTCTCTCGCTCTCTCACCCTCATTTTTTCCGAGCCAAAACATCCGATTTCCTGATATCCCAATATCGATTTTCCCCACCCCGCACTAAACTGTGGCCGTCTAACGGGAAGAAAGCAATTTTCTAGCGGCCAAGGTTACGGTATTCCGTGGGGCTCCGTTTGTCCACATCCCCCCCACTGGATCGGGGGGCCATTTCGAGTGCGGGGCGCATCCCTGCCCATCTTTTCGACTCTAAATCTCTTTCCCGCTGCATATCCCTCACTCACTCACTCGCTCTCTCTCTCTCTCTCTCTCTCTCTCTCTCTCTCTCTCTCTCTTCTAAAGGGGGCTTCTTCTTCGCATCTCAGCAAATATCCTCCTCGGGTCCTTCGGCCCGCTGGACACACTTCGCCCCCCAGATCCAAACAGCTTTCGCTATTAGTGGGGGCGGGCTGGCAGAGATTTTTGAGGAAATCGGGCAAGATAGCAGAGATCCTTTAGGAATCGAGACCCGGAGATTCTTGAGGATTTTTCGTTTGACTTCCGATACATTTAAAGCCTATTAACTTTAGGCTACCCCTCGACGACGCATTTCTCCCTGGATGGCCAGCCAACCGGCACCTACCTCCCCTACGATGCCGGCTACTTTACGCCCGGAACGCGTGAGTTCATAGGATGTAAGATTCATGCAAATTAAAGGCTTAAAGGGACGTGGAAGCCAAAAGGTCTATGGATTTGAACGCATTATCTGATTTTTTCAGTCCCTTCCTCATCGCAGATGTACACGCTGCCCCCTGCGGACCCGTTCACGCAACCAACAAGCCTCACAGTAACCCAGAGCCCCGATGTGAAGATTACGGTGGATTCGGTGGCCGGGGATAGCAAAGCTGGGTAGGTTCTTGAAAATAGTTAGGGCAGACTAGCAAAGATTGTTGAGGAAGAGGAGAGGGCAGGCTAGCAGAGATTGTTGAGGAAGAGGAGAGGGCAGGCTAGCAGAGATTGTTGAGGAAGAGGAGAGGGCAGGCTAGCAGAGATTGTTGAGGAAGAGGAGAGGGCAGGCTAGCAGAGATTGTTGAGGAAACTCGGATTTAAGCGGGCTTTTTAGCCTGAAACTCGACTGCGACTCTGAGATTGCTGAGGAGATTGAGACCGACTCCCCCGGGCCAGGTTTGAAAAATCATTTTTGAATTATTTTATCTTTAGATGGCAAAAAGGGGAAGCGGAAACGCCGCGTGCTCTTTACTAAAGCCCAGACATACGAGCTGGAGAGGCGGTTTCGGGTTCAAAGGTGCGTATCAAACTTCAAAACTGCTAGGCAACGCCAGGGTTGCTTGAATGAGAGCCAGAATCTCTGCTAGGCTCCTTCCCCGGCTGAGCTCCAGTCCTCAAAACGCATTAATCACACTTCTTTAGGTATCTTAATTCGGCCGAACGTGAAGAGCTGGCAATGACGATTGGTCTAACGCCGAATCAGATCAAGATCTGGTTCCAGAATCATCGCTACAGGCTGAAGACAGATATTTCGTAGGTTTTGGCTGATTTTGCTTGGATTAGGCTTAGGCATAGGCTTAGGCTTACTAGGGAAGTGCAAATAAAAAACCCAGCAAACCGCTTAGCAAAAATATGGGTCTGATAGAGTCGGCGACGGGGATTCCGAAACTGCAATCAGAATTTGCTAAACGCTATATAGTTAGGCTTGCCATTTTTAGCTATTTTTATGCAAATGGTTGATTTTTGCACTGCTATTTCGATTTTTTGTCATTAAAAGCTTGATAAGCCAGGATTTGAAGCTTTCGAAGCTTGGCAAGCCTAAGATTGCTAAATGCATCGTGTACAGTAATTTTTCAGGTACAAAACCAAGAAGACCCTCTCGGATAAGCCTCTTAACCAAGCTCTCCTCCACCAGTCGATGCAAAACCAAGCCGCATTTACGACAAGGAGATTACAGGTAACTTGCACAAATTATTAAAGCTCACAGTTTCAGTACTTTACTAACATTAAAATCTGGCATTTACGAAGCATCCATTAATGCCTATTTTTAGCAAATGGTCGTCAAAGACGGAAAGCCGTATCCTCAGGAGCTGAACCCGTATCACGGTAGGTGTATAAGGCCAGGGTTAGGTAGGCTAGCAGACCTATATGAAGTCCAGGATAGACAGCAGAGGCTAGCAGTGACCCTTTGCGAAAATTGGTGATCTGGGCAAGGTAACAGGGTTTCCTTGCGGAAACTGACGTCCTTTCACCGAATCATCGCTCGTTTTCAGCCGCCGCAGCCGCCGTAGCGTTTTCCGGGGGTTCGTATTTGCCGCAAGCTTCGTATCTACAGCCCCCGGGCACTTACCTACCTCCACCAGGAAATACCAACGCATATACCATGCATCAGGGATGGGGATGGGGGTAATTTTTGGACTTTAGTGGTCCTTTAAAGTGGATTATCTCGTATTGAACTTAAATTTCTGCATTTCAAGCTCTCACTCTCTCTCTTTCTTTCTTTCACCCTCTCTCTCACTCTCTCATCTCTCTCACTCTCTTCCTCTTGCTATCTCGCTCGTTCTGTCTCTCTCTCCCTTTCTCGCTCCCTCTCGTTTTCAGTTAATTCAGCTACATTTTATGTCTACGAATAATTGTGATACCGCGCCCGTCAGAGTCCCCGTTCCGTTGCTCAACCAATATCTGAATTTTTTACATTTTTGTAATGGATTTCTGGGCTACACCTAATTTGCATAATCACTGCGTTTTTGGTGGGTTCTTTTTTTCTTTTTTACTGTTTCATGCGTTTTAAGATTGACTTTGTGCACTGGATAAAGTATTTTAAGCCATTTTAAACGCGGAAAATACGTAAAAACGCTTTTTGATGATTTTAATGTCAAAAACAGGATACCGTAATTTTAAGATCGTCTATTTCAGCCTATATTTGCATAAAATTATTTATCATGACTGTGGTCTAATATGTACACACAAATGGAGTGGTAGGTGAGAAACAGGTTTCAGACAAAAAAAAGGCGTTTTTGAGGTACCGGTATTGGCGTGGGATTCTAATTCGTGAAAAAGATAGGTTATGGTGCCTTGAAAAACAGCCGAAAAACGATTTAGACAATTGTCAGACCCGAGGAATACTGTAGAAAACGCGAGTTTTAGAAGGCGAGCATGAGAGCCGAGATGAGGGTGACGACGCCAAGGGAAAGTCCGTTCGATGAGCTCACCTAAATGGCAAATTTTGATGTTGAATTCCTGAAAAATCTCTGAAAGCCCGCCCTCTCCTCTTCCTCAAAATCACTGCTAGCCTGCCCTCCTTCTACCTACCGGCTCGGGGCTTTGAGTGATAACTTCAGCGGTCACCGAAGCTTCTTCAGCCGGCTTTTGCTCCTCCTCCTGAGCATTCACGACGAGCATCGGCTCTGTGGTGGCTTCCTGAAATTTACCGGATGAAAGCAATCAAATTTTTTAAAACTTTAACATACAGAACTTACCTCCTTCTTCTCTTCTTCCTTTGCTTCAGTAGCGTTCTTCTCTACCTCTCCGGAATGCTCCATTCCGGCCAAACCGGACTGGATGGAGCGATCGTCCTCGGATGTGGTCTGAAATGGGGTAGGCTAGTAGGGATTGTTGAGTAAACGGAAAAGGCAGGCTAGCAGAGAACAGGTAAGTAAGTACCTTTTCAGGCTTCACAGTAACCGGGGCCTCTTCCGTTTCCTGAATATGAATTTGTACACTTAAAGTTTCAATGCCTACCTCGCTGCTGATCACCTCCATCTTGGCGGTGACCTCCTCCGACTCGGTGTCCCCATCGATTTGGAGCTGAACAAGCGAACGTGAATACAATCTTTGATGAAAATGAGCTTGTTGCGGTCCCTTGAAAATCTAAAGATCTGAGTGACTTACAGGCTTCTCCGCAGGCGTGGTTGGCTGGTTAACGATCTTGACGTCTTCCTCCGTTTGAGCAACAGCTGGGTTTTCTGTGGCCACCTCAGCCTGAAAGCGATTGTCAAGGCAAGGAGGGTGATTTCCCAAAGGATCTCTGTTAGCCTGCTACCTACCGCATCCTCAGTGGCATTTCCGGGAGTTCCAAAAGGCACAAAGTCGTCTTCAGGCTGGAAGGCGTGAGTTGTAGCCTCGTCAACAGGTTCCTCCTTAAAAATTTGCATAAAATAACTGCTTAGGCTTAGGTTTAGTTTAAGCGTAGGCCTAGGCTTAGCTTAGGTTTACGCTTAGCTTAGGCTTAGCTTAGACTTAGCTTAGGCTTAGGCTTAGGCTTAGGCTTAGGCTTTGGCCTTGCGTGTTCAGGCTATGATAATACCTCTGGCTTCGCGTCCCGGCTTGCCAAGAAGAGCGGCTCATCGGGTTTTCGGTCCTTAAACCGTTTTTAAAGGAATTGACAACAAACAAAAGCTAATGGACAAAAAGATGCCTTATTCATAGCGTCAAATCGAGCGGCAATCGCCTCCTCGTCGATGGCCGGAACTTCAGAAGAGCTGACGACAACTCGTGGGATCTCCGTCTCGTCCTCCGAGCTGACGAGGGACTTCTAGAGGGAAAATATCACAAAACCTTGTCGGTTCCTGATTTTTAAGGTCTTGTCGGCTTCGATGAATTCAAATTCAACCCGCTTTATTCCCGAATTAAAATTAAGATTTTACGAGTCGTTTATCTTGGTTAATAATGAATTCCGGCTGACCTCTCCGTCGGTCTTCGTCGACTCGACGCTGTCCAGCGCTTCAGATAGCGTGAATTCATCAGAATCCGTTTTTGTGCCATCCTTCTTCTCTTCCTCTTCGGCTTTTTCGAACTGAAAAAGGTGTGTTCGCTTAGGCTTAGGTTTAGGTTGAAGCTTAGGCTTAGGCTTGAATTACCTTGGATGTCTCCTCATCAACATTCACCTGGATTGTGCTCGACTCGAATTTCTGAAAAATCCAAGGTTCCTTTCGGCTCTTGGGATATTTATCCAAATAGCCAAACTTTTCCAGCTTTACCCACCTCCTCCAAGTTGGCCGGTGCCGTCACCTTCGAAATATCGACAGAGATCAGCTAAAAAATTGACTAGAGCAATTCCTATTCCCGAAGTTACCTTCTCCAAGTCGTCGGTGCTCTTCACGAAATTGCACTCTTCGGGCAGGGAGGTGAAGAAGGCCTGATTTCAAAGCTTAAAATTAATAGCGAAAGAACCTTGGTTTTTTCCGGCTCCAGGCCCTGGACACCGTTGTTGATCTGGAATTTGAGGAGATCCTTGAAGAGCTGACCAGCAGCCGGGCAAGTTGTGCTTAGGAGTCGGGTGGAACACTGGAGGACGCAGATGTGTTGCCTGAAATGGAAATTTAAGAGACTGTCGTCAAGGGATCTCTGCTCCCTGCCCTCTCCTCTTCCTCAACAATCTCTGCTAGCCTGCCCTCTCCTCTTCCTCAACAATCTCTGCTGGCCTGCCCTCTCCTCTTCCTCAACAATCTCTGCTAGCCTGCCCTCTCCTCTTCCTCAACAATCTCTGCTAGCCTGCATCTCAAAACTAACCGGCAGCTGGATCCGAGCTGATCCATCTCAGCTCCAGGATTGATGGGGGAAGCGGGATTCCCGTCGAGGCGGAATGCTTCTATAACCCCGGGTTTAACGGCTCTTTAAAATGCTCTTACTCGTTTCATCGACTTTCATCCCGCATTCCGTCAGGCACCTGTTGACGGGCTCTTCCTCATCCTTTTCTAGGCACCGTTTCGCAACTCCCAAATCTTTAGAATATGCAAATTAGGCAAAAACTTCCAAACAACCTTCTTGACGGCAAATTTCGGATGCCATTCGGGTTTTTTCGGTGAATTGCGCTTCTTCCTGGCACTCTGCACCGCATTTGGTTACGTCAGCAAGGATTCTGGAATTTATGATTATAAGGAGAACTAGATTATAAATAAATTGAATAATTTTATATTTTCCTAAAAAATCTCTGCTAGCCTGCCATGTCAGTTTTTCAATAAATTTTATACGTCCGCGTTTTCTTAAAAATCCAGTCCGCTATCCTGGAGTCTAGACGGACAGACAAGATTTGCATGCCCTATTTTTGGAGGAATAAGGAGAAGGAGATTTGCATGAGTTTTGAGACTTGAAAAAATTTCAAAATTAGCTTGAAAAGCTACAAAAAAAACTGGTTTGGAATAAAGCTAAAAACCAATGTTACAAAAGCTTAAAACATCTTAAAAATTAATTTTAATGCCAAAATTACATTTGATAGTATCAAGCTAAAACATGCAAACACCAAAAAAAAACAACAATTTTAAGAAAAACGGGCCAGTAAATAGAGGATTTGAGAGCTAATATATTGTTTACTTGCAAAAATTAGCCTCATCGACGACGACCCTGCGGAAATTCCGCAAATCGTTGGCTACAACGATGGAGTCGCGATTTTCGAAGCACTTCTCCAGGCAGCCGGTGGAATTTGTGGGGGCACCTAAAGGAATCCGGTAGGCTGATTTGCATACAAGATTTGCTATATTTTCGATTTATATTAAAGAAACCATGTCTTAATGAGTCCGCATAGGCTAAAATCCTCTAACCGATCCTCCTAATAAACCTACTGTATGCTGTGGCGACGACAAGCGCCAAAAGTACGTGTTGTCGCATGGTGGAGCTAAAATTAACAATGAAGAGAGAAAGAGAGAGAGAAAGAGAGAGAGAGAGAGAGAGAGAGAGAGAGAGAGAGAGAAAGATAAAGAGAGAGAAAAACAGAGAGAAACAGAGCGAGAGATAGAGAGAGAGCGAGAGAGCGAGGGGGAAACAGAGCTTGACACAAAAAAAAATCATGCGGAAACGAAAAGGTGCAGATTTAAAAAAGTGTTTTTCCGTAATAGGTTCCAGCAATTGACTTCAATGCTCGTTTAAAAGGATAAATTACACTGTGAACATTGGAGACGGTGCCAGAAAGAGGCTGAGGCAAGCTTAAAGGGAGCATGACAGGAAAATACGATAATTTCAGCCGGGAGTTCGACTCCAATGGGCCTTTAAATAAGAAAGGGAATAAAGCTAGCACAGCACGATCATTTGAAGCCAAAAATCAAACATTTTGAGTCGGATACAGTTTTGCAAAGTTTCAGAACAAGCTTTAAAGGGAGGTGGACAGTGAAATACCGCAATTAAAACTATGAATTTGACTTGAACGTCCCTTTAAAACCAAGGTGGTTTTTTGGAGGGGAGGACAAGGATAGATGAACTGGGTTGAGCTCGGCCTGGGGCTCGGGACAATGGCAATGGAGGAGGAGCACGAGCTGGAGGAGGGGAAGAAAGTATGCTGCTGGTCAGCATCTCCGCCCTAAAATTGCTCTCTCTCTCACACACCCTCTCTCTCTCCCCGATTATAATGCACCGAATGCCGTGAGTTTCACACCCCTTCTCCTACTCCCCCTGCGGGCAATTAAGCAGTGAAATGAAAAGGAGTACATTCTTGGGAGCGGGGAACGAGGGGAAACGAGGAGGCCGAGGTTCCGTTGAGGCGAAAAATATGTTTATTATTTTATTATTATAAATAGGCTTAGGCTTAGACTTCGGTCAGCTTTTGATTAGGTTTAGGCTTAGGCTTAGGCTTCAACTTAGGACGAAGCGGCTTCGGCTTGGACTTAGACTTGGGCGGCTTAGGCGTAGGCTTAGGGATAGCACGATAAGTAAATCCAGAAAATCCAACATACAAAATTTTTCATATGTCAGCGTTTTATAGGTTTTTATGAGGAATTTCTATGAGAAACAACCCGTTGCGAAATTTGAATTTGACAAATTGACAAGTTTACTAAGGAAAATGACTTCGATTTCGCCAAATAGCCAATGACTGAGGGAAAATGGTTTCGCTGAAGGTCAAAAATCAGCAGAGAGAGCGAGAGAGAGAGAGAGAGAGAGAGAGAGCGAGAGAGAGAGCGAGAGAGCAATTTCTGAAAAGTCTGGTTACAGAAATAAGGCTTGTCCATAACAAAAACAAAAATTATCCCCGAATCCCGGCCGGCCACTCTTTATATGGTAAGTAGCGGGGCGGATGGTTGGAACGAAATCGGGACGGGGAGATGGACACGATACCTGTCAAAATATAGGAGTATTTTGTTGCTATCTCTCTGCTTCCGTCTCTCTCTCTCCCTCTCTCTCTCTCTCTCTCTCTCTCTCTCTCTCTCTCTCTTTGATAGATACATTTTTCGAAATAACAATGGTCAGGTCGAGTCGAGAACCTGTTCCGTCTTCCCTTTTTCTCTTGCCCTGCCTTTTTATTGCGATTGCAATTTTCGTGGCGGCCAGCAGATAATCGGCACAAAATAAAAAATGGTTAAGAAAAAAAACCAAAAAATATTGCGGAATGATTCCTGAAAGTTTCTCTGTTAGCATGCCTCTCCAGAAACGCGAATTTAGCTCCCAAATGGACCCTGCTAGCTTGCCCATTGCCCTGGCAGTCCGATCAGTCGAAGAGAGTCTCTGCTAGCTCTCCCTAGCTGACTCCACCTCGCAAATGATCTCTGCTAGCCTGCGTCGCGAGCTTGCTCCTTGATATTCGTGTCTTCAAAAGAATCTCGGCTAGGTTGTCTAGACACAGCTGGGCTTAGGCTTAGGCTTAGACTTAGACTTAGGCTTAGGTTAGCTTAGGCTTGGCGTGCCTTGGCGTAGGCTTAGGCGTGGCTTGGGCTTAGGTTTATGCTTGGGCTTGGGCTTGGGCTTGGGCTTGGGCTTAGGCTTAGGTTAGGCTTAGGCTTACGCTTGGCGCAGACTCTCCCTATCAACCTGATTGACAGATAATGATCTGAATTGACCACTTGGCCAAATCATTCCTTCCCCCGGGGTACACATTTCCCAGCCAATCAGCCATTTCCTATTCCCCCCTTGTTGTATACTTGTTTTGTTGTGAGATGGTGTGCTCTTGGAGGAGATGGTAGAGGTCATTTCTCCGTCTCTCATTTTCTCTCTCTCTCTCTCTCTCTCTCTCTCTCTCTCTCTCTCTCTCAATCCCGGAACAAAGCCGATTTCCTTTCCATTTTCCATCCATTTCTACTGCCCCTCTCTTTCAGCCCCTCAACAAAAAGATTAATGCTCATTGGGGATGAGGGGCGGAAATGCGCTAGCCTGGGGCTAGGAAATTTCGTTAGACTAAACCAATTTAAGTGATGCTTTGTTGTATGCAAATTAATGAAACAGGTAGCGCTTGGCACGCATTTTTTAAGTGGGCAGGCTAGCAGAGATTCCTTGAGCACCTCATGAAAAAGCCAGCTATCAGAAAACTGTCAAAAATTCGCAGAATGACAACTAGCAGCGAACTTTTAGGAAGGCGCAGAAGGTACTAGCTTTGGGCACGTTCCCTTTAGCCTTAATTTCGATAATTTCCATATAATATTTTGTATTTTTAGTTCGTTTCCAAAAACCATTTTATCGAGGAAAAATGTGCATTTTTAAGAATCGCCAGACAGTGGGGTCAGTTTTTGAGATCAATGGCATCCGAAAAAAAGCAGAGAAAAGGTAGAAACACCAGAAAAATTTTTAGAAAAACATGGCGATTAAATCAACGGGATATACAGTGGATTGTACCCAGAATAGAAGCACGAAAACACATAGTAAAAACACACAATTACGCAATTATAAAAAAGCGGGAAATTTTGAAATTTGAATGATTTTTAGGACCATAAAACTTTTTAGGTTTTAGAAAGTTATCAAAATCCTCAACAAAGTTTTAAATATTTTTGGACGGTGGTGAGCACGAAGATATCAAAAAGGAATCGAAAAAGATGCCGGGGGAGCAATCGGAAATGGTCAAAAAGGGATAAAATTTGTTTGGTAAAATCATTTCCGCTTGGTGATCATCTGCCGAATCTTCTCGAACAGCTTCGTCTTCTTGAACTCCTTCTTGGGGATCGTTGGCTCTTTTTCCGACGACTTCAAGGTGGTCGACGGTTTTTTCGGGTGTTCGGAGCTCTGGAAATTAAGCGTTGGTTAGCAGAGGTATTTGCGGAAGCTGGGCTTGGGCTTAGGCTTTGGCTTCGACTCACCTGCCGAATCCGACTCCGAAGCCGTCTCGTCGTCTTTGCTCGATGACGTGGCTTCATCAGTATAGTAATAATTTGAGACGTAGTATGCCGGTTCCCGGGTCACACTAGACGCGCACACGTTGATGATCATCTTCTGAGAGGGGTGAGGATACTGAAAAAATCATATTTAAATTCATCTAAAGAAACAAGAAGAAAATCAAGGGAAAATCGCTAAGGTTTACAGAAAAGTCCAGAAATTCAAGCCAAACCTCGGGATTATAGCCTGTGAAAGAAATTGGGTCCCATGAAGTGCCCCGTGATTACGGTAATTAATCCCCTCGGGGCAGCGTGGAAGAGCCAAAAAAAGTTGCTACGTCACGCTGCCGACGCGTTGCCCTTATGTAAACAACTTATGGGTTCGGAATGTGCTTGGAAAAGCTGCAAAATTTTCAAAAGGTCTCTGCCAGCCTGCCCTCTCCTCTTCCTCAATAATCTCTGCTAGCCTGCCCTCTCCTCTTCCTCAATAATCTCTGCTAACTGACCCCTCCTCTTCCTTAACAATCTCTGCTAGGCTGCCCTCTCCTCTTCCTCAACAATCTCTGCTAGCCTGCCCTCTCCTCTTCCTCAACAATCTCTGCTAGCCTGCCCTCTCCACTTCCTCAACAATCTCTGCCAGCCTGCTCTCCTCTTCCTCAACAATCTCTGCTAGCCTGCCCTCTCCTCTTCCTCAACAATCTCTGCTAACTGACCCCTCCTAAAATCGAGAAAAGGCACTTAGGACCCGAAAAATGATCCAGGAAGCAGCTCCCGCTGTTGAGAATGAACCCCGGGGACGCTCGCGTAAAAAGACTACGCTACGCTACACCGAACGCATAATCAAATCCGGCTACCGCCGTGCCCCCAGGGCTCATTAGGGGAGAGGCGGAAGTCCAACCCTTTTGTTCGTGTTTTCTAAGGGGACTGGGAACAATGGGATTGAAAAGATACGTCGAGAAAAACCTGTCTGGAAATTGGAATACTGGGAAAGAAAGAGAGAGAGAGAGAGAGAGAGAGAGAGAGAGAGAGTGAGAGAGAGAGAGAGAGAGAAAGCGAAAGAGAGAGAGAGAGAGAGAGAAAGATAGAGAGAAAAGGAAGTCTAAAGCCTAAGCTCAGGCTTAGGCAGGCTTAGGCAGGCTTAAGAAAATAGTCAGAAATGCTGCTTTTATGACAATTTTCAGCCGCTTAAAAGGAAGTTCAGGCAAAACCCCGCCCATTTATAGGGTGGGGAAGAATTTCCTGGATGCAAATCCCCTAAAGGGCCATTATCCGCGGGAGGGAGCCCTTGAAAAATCGCTCAAAAATATTTTACACTTGAAAGGTTGTCTCCTGGGAATTTTCCGGAAACACCGTTGCACGTCTTAGAAAAGGGGAAATAATTTTTGAGCGAGCGCGGAGGGCCGGCTAGCAGAGAGCCTTGAGGAAACTATTCCAAAGGAGCTCGTGCTCCCTTTTTAAACCTCACCCCGAGATGGACGTGTGACCTCGTCGTTTTGCGTCAGAAGCACACCCCGGGGCCCCAAAGAAACGCCCCCCTATTTAGCCAGATGGCACATGGGATCCCCCGAAAAAGCAAGCGACGCGTAATTCGAGAGGCTGATGTCTATGGTAAAAGCGTCTATTTTAAGTTTTGTACACGATAGGATTTCGACTATTTTGGGAAGAAACGGAAGAGGCAAGTTGAAGCTTTTCAAGTTGCTCACAAGCAGTTGATAATTAAAATGTGAAAAAGGGGCAGAAAGTGATTCAATCCGAGAATTTAACCATGAACTTGGGAAACCCCAAGACACTTTTACCGCGTGCCAGCAGAAATTCTTGTGGAGCTTGGACGTTCTGGAGCTTCAGAAAAAATTTTCGGGCGCAAGGCAAGCTAGGCAGGCTAGCATAGATCATTTGAGTGGCTAAGACGTTATGGAAACAACGAAAACAGGATTCCGAAAGTAAGGGGCAGGCGAGCGGAGATCCTTTGAAAGCTTAGCGAAATCGGGCAGGCTAGCAGAGACCCTTGAAACAATCGTTTCGCTGGCTGGGTTTGCAATAACGCTAGCAAAATTCATGCCCCCTAAAATTAAAAAAATTCTGAGAACCTGTGGCAAACTAGAAGCTTTTGTGATCGCTAAGCGCCCAACAGAGCAGGCTAGCACGGATTCTTAGAGAATCTGGTTGGAACAATGGCTTCTAGAAAATTTGGAGGCAGGCTAGCAAAGATCATTGAGGAAAGGTTAGAACTTCGAACCAGCGTTACTTTTTCCAGCGTCTTAGAAATTCGAGCAAAAATTTTGTGAAGAAGGAGAGACAGGCTAGCAAAGATTGTTGAGTAAATGGAAAGAGCAAGCTAGCAGAGACCATTGGGGGAATCTTCATAATACTAGCAAGTATATTACTATATACCCCGCGGCATTCAAGACGTCTTGGGACGGGGGAATGGCCGGGCGGGGGGGGGTTCCCCCTGGCCCCTGGGCCCCACGACGATCGATCCGTCGGCTGGGGCCCAAAAAAAAGAAGCGGCCCGGCGGGCCCTCTCCTTTTCTTGGGCCCTAAGGCTCCCTCGGCTGGTCACTCTTTTTCTCGTGCATTCCGTCTCCTCGGCGACAACAACGCCGAGGGATTTACTGGCAGGGATTAAAGGGGTGATGACACGGAGGGAGGAACCGGTTTTTTCATTAATCAAGCCAAAATCTAGTTTCTCAAGTACTCCCTGCTAGCCTGCCCTGCCTCAATTAACCCGAAAAATAGTTTTAAGCTACAACAAAAGGACGTATTCCTAAAGAATCCCTGCTAGCCGGGCCTGCCTTCGCAAAAGATCTCGGCTAGCCATCCCTAAGCCTCCTAGCTTTGTGATCACTTGTTCCCCTGGCCCAGTGGCTCTTAAGGGCCCGGGACCCAGGCTCAAAAAGGGCGCCCAAACCCAATTTATCCGTTTTGTTGAGGGCGGCTCGAAGACCACCACCTTCCCTTACGATTCGATTAGATGGCCGCGTCATGTTTTTCGAGACGTGTAGCCGGGGGTTATGCAAATTAGGGCGGGTTGGAGGTTCGCAGGTATAGCTTTAGGCTTAGACTTAGGCTGAGACTTGCTTAGGCTTGGCCTAGGTTTAGGCTTAGGCTAGGCTTGGGGAGAGGTTTACGCTTAGGCTCAGGCATAGGTTCATGCTTCGACTGAGGCTAGGCTTCGGCTTATGCATGGGCTTAGGCTTAGACTTCAGCTTAAAGAACATATTTTGAAGGTATTTTAAGGGAAAGGCAACTTAGCAGATATTATTGAGGATCAGGATGGCAGACTAGCAGGGATTTTTAAGGAAACGCAACGGCAACTAGCAGCTACATTTGCTGAGCGTATTTTGCTCTGAAATAGTGCGGCCAAAAAATTCCTTCACCGCTCCATAATCGTCGCGTCAACAGAATTGGTATTGTCTGAAGGCCCCGCCACGGGACTCCAGGCCCAAAAAATACCCATTTTGGGCCCCGGAAAGGGCCCAAAATGCGTGAAAATTGAGTGCCCGGGGGCGCCTTGGAAAATATGTAGCATTCCGGGGCGTAAGAAAATCCAGAATACATCCGAGAGCTCCAATGTCCACCCTCGCATCTATTAAATAAAGAAATAGCCCGATGATGGGGGGTCCCGAAAGGGGCGGAAGAAGGAGAAAAAGCGGAAAATTGAGCCCCTCCTACACAATTCATGGGGGGAGGGGAATCAAAGAATGCTTGAGCGGGGGTGCTAGTGTTTTGGTGCTTGGATTTCCAAGGCTCGGCAATTGTAGCGGATCAAAAAACTGATGAGTTAAAAGGGCTTGGACAGAAAAAGAGGCTGTCGTAGCTGAAGTTCAACATTTTCCCAAAAAACATTGGAAGGCAACTAGCAGGGATATTGGAGAATTAAAGGGAGTACGACAGCAAAGAGTTTCCTTAAAAGCGACAAAATCACTGAAGGCCAGCTAGCGGAGATCCTTCAGGATTTAAGGGAGCGTGACAGGAGACAAATTTCGTAAGCTAGCAGCATATCCGAAGGGTAGCTATCAGAAACCATTTAGGATTAAAGGGAGGGTGACAGGAAAGTACTTTGCTAAAAATATAAAACATGAGCAGGGCGGCTAGCAGAGATTCTGGGGATTAAAGGGAGAGTGACAATCGCGGTGGCAGCCAATTTCCGCCCATAATCTCAATTTATAGCCTTCAGGCTTCATCATCACCCCCCATGAGAGGGGTGAGGGTGGGACGTGGGAGGGGGCAAACACTCGAGAGCCAAAAATTCCTCCTCCATCCGGGCGGATGATCAGAAATTGAGAAGTTCCCGGTGTCGTTGAGTGTTTTTTGGCCCATCGCCAGGGGGGAAAATCTCCGAAGCGATTAGGTGCATCCGAAAAAATCAAAAGATAGATTTATTTCACTCCCATTGATGTGCTGCCACGGTCTCTTCAACGAACGCTTTGCAGCGCTGCATTATCTCGTTAATCCGAGCCTCATCGTCGTCTCGGCCGCGTTTTAACACCTGAAAAAGTCGAATTTGGTCTTTTAAAGGAATGGCAACAACTTGAAAATCTGCAGTTTTACTTACAGGTGAATTACTCCACATTCCGGCGGCAAAAACAGCCAACGTGGCGTGGTATGGCATATTGTCGTGCCAGTCTTTCTATAAAAATTTGATGAAAACAGGGGCAGGCTAGCAGAGATTGTTGAGGAAGAGGAGAGGGCAGGCTAGCAGAGATTGTTGAGGAAGAGGAGAGGGCAGGCTAGCAGAGATTGTTGAGGAAGAGGAGAGGGCAGGCTAGCAGAAATTGTTGAGGAAGAGGAGAGGGCAGGCTAGCAGAGATTGTTGAGGAAGAGGAGAGGGCAGGCTAGCAGAGATTGTTGAGGAAGAGGAGAGGGCAGGCTAGCAGAGATTTTTAAGGAAACGAACCTTTATCATCTCCATGGTAATTTTCTCATCAATGCCATGCGCCTCCAACTTCTCGTTCAGCTGCTCGTGATAGTAGACGAGCAAGCTTTCCGTGATTTCATGTCGTAATTTTGCTGGGACGCTCATTGAGAGAACGTGCATCAGGTCAACTGTCTGTACAAAATTAGCGTAGATGTCATGGTCCCTTTAAAAACCCACCAAACCTCCCTCTTTGCATAGGGCCCAATCGACGATGCCTAGGATTTTGTCGCCTTTCCACAAGATTTGTGGAGCCCAGAGATCGCCGTGCGTGAGTACGGTATGTCCTAAAATGTCAGGAAAATATCTTTCTTGGTCTCTCTCTCTCTCTCTCTCTCGTTTTACCGTTTTTTGTGAGCTTCAGCAGTTCCTGGAACCAATCGATATCTATATAGTGCTTTTTAAGAATCCTGATGGCCGCCAGTTCATCTCCGCGTTGCTAAAATTCTTAAATTAACTCTGCCAGCCTCCTCTCTACTCTTCCTCAATAACCCCTGATAGCATACCTTCAATAGCTGATCAGCAACTCCTCGGACGAGATCCTCAAACTGTTCGGGCGGCGCGCAGTTACCCTAGCAAAATAGCAAAAATCATATCAAAGGTGTTTTGTTGCTTTACTGAATCAATCCCGCACGTGACCACCTCGCGGTACTTGAAGCTCAGCACGTGCAGCTTCACCAGCTCGTCGACGATGGCATAGAGCTGAAAAATCCAAATGTTCTCTGCTAGCCTGCCACATCCTCAATAATCTCTGCTAGCTTGCTGCTCACTACCTGCTTCTCCGAGAATCCATCCACCACATCATAGGTGCAGCCCCGTTCCAGGTCTTCCATTACGATAATTGGGGTCCCGGTGTTCATCTGGAGCGTCGTGTACACGAAGGGGATGGAAAGTCGGAACTCGGGATCTGAATCTTAAGCTTAGACTTAGGTTTAGGCTTAGGCATAGGCTTAGGCTTAGGCTTAGGCTTAAGCTTAGGCTTAGGCTTAGGCTTAGGCTTAGGCTTAGGCTTAGGCTTAGGCTTAAGCTTAGGCTTAGGCTTAGGCTTAGGCTTAGGCTTAGGCTTCGGCTTAGGCTTAGGCTTAGGCTTAGGCTTAGACTTAGGCTTAAGCTTAGGCTTGGGCATAGGCATATACAGGGTGAGGCATATATATCGCTACACCCTCTCGGGCCCCCAAAAAATTATTAAAGCGAGCCGGGCTTCAATATTTTGCTGTGATATAGCCACATGGGTCCTTTCGACACTCTTAAAATTTTATAACGCAACAATCCTATCAACACTTGTTCTGAAGCAAAAACTGGGCGTCGTTAGGTGGGTCTGGCACGGAACCCCTTAGCGACCGATTTCGGTATGGTTCGGAAACATTGATTTGGACCCGAATGACCCTTCAAAACATTTGTACTACTTAGAATTAAACTAAAAAGACAATGAGACCAACTTATTTCTTTTCATTCGGCAGAAAGTTAAAAGTTTGTCTCAGCTGGTTACAAAAACCATAGTAAAAAACATAAAAATACATTTTTTGACCTGTACTCGTTCAATTTCTTGGTTTGATCATTGGGAATTGCTTGTATCGGATGCCTAAAATGCAAAAAATAGCTCGAATCCAAATATTCAGGTGGCTTAGATTTTCTGATGAATTTTTAGTGACCAACCAAAGGGTGGGGAGGGGTGGGTCATCACTCCTTTTTTGAATGTAGTAAAATTCCCTCGCTAGTTACCGACTAAAAACTTTTTGGAAAACATAAATAAGATCCGATTGAACCAGAATACAAAAAAACTGCAGCAGAATTACCAATATCCGGGGTTCTAGGAGCAGCGTGCCAACACACCACTTTTTCGAGAAAAGCGCTGAACTTCCTTGTAAGCTAAACCCAAATCGAAACAATTTTCAACCATTTACATTTATTGCTTGCATAAAGAGACACTAGTTCTTTGATGGGAAACATCGATTACCCCGAAAATATAATCAGTTTTCCGCCGGCAGACCAATTTGTGCGTGCTAGAGGTGTAGCGATATATATGCCTCACCCTCACAGAGGGAAATCCACCGGGTTTTCGCCGCCCGGCCGCCGCGATTTGGCTTTCGCCGCCCGGCGGCCGGGACTTCGCCGCTGTTTCGCCGGGACGTGTCGGCGAAAGAGCGGCGAAGACCCGGCGGCCGGGCGGCGAGAGCCAGATCGCGGCGGCCGCGACTTGGCCGGCTGGCCGCCGCTACTTCGCCGCGATTTCGCCGCCGTCGATAGGAAAGCCACGGATAATTAGCTCAAACGCGCATTACTTTTTGAATCAATTTCTCCCAAATTACTTAGTTTTCTTTCCAAGTTTCTCTATTTACTTGTAATAATTTGTATTTTATCAATTGCTCTAGGAACGAACTAGTTTTATACGAAAATTACGACAATTCTCAAGGATTATGACGAATTTAGCCTCAAGTCACTGAGGTTGAAGATACAGCTAGAAAAACTTTCGAAATCTTTTAGAATGCTGATGGCAGGTAAGAGTTAATTAGTTTTTTAGCAAAGAGGGTTTATGTGGCAACAGAGAACTAGCATAGGTAAGTTTTTGAGTTCCTGGCAGATAATTATCGGTACGTTTTTATCGTTTTGTTTATTTAGCCGTTAGGAAAGTGTCATATGATAATCCGGTAAGGGGTTTGATTGTCGTTTTAGGCTCTCTACACACAAAATTGTTCGTTTTTGCAAAAACTGCCACTTTCCATGTGGTTCGTTTCAATTGTGCAATTGGTTTGATGAAAATTCCATTGTTTGAGAGGAAATCGAAATTTTTGCAGATTTTAGTGACCAAAATAAGCTGAGACTGTGTAGCATAACATTTCCTTTATCGTTGGTAGTTATATGAGATTGTCCTAGCCGACGGAATAGACAAGCTGTAAGTTTAGACAAGTTTCGGAGTTGTTGAGGGCGAGTTGTGTGCGTGTGTGATGTTTTTGAATTCTAATAACCATCGATCAGGTTATAATGATTAGCCCGCACACGCACTGCCTGTAAGTTCGATACAACAACTCGCATCGATAGATTCAGCGGCTATTATAATAACAAAATAAACTTTCAGGTGGCTGTTATTCCATGAGCTGATGATGACGGCGTCCGCCGACTCGGTGAGAAATGGTGAGTCCGGGTAAGTGAAGTAAGATATTAATAGTGAAACAAAATTCAAAGCTCTTTGGAAGCATTAATTTCTGGCAAGAGGTGTGCAGCCCATTAAAAATTAAATACTTTAAGCTAGAAATCAAAACAGTAACCAAAATAAACGATATTTCAGGCTACGCGGCCTTCTTCACCAGTTCCAGCTTGATATGGATCAAGAACCTTAGGAAGAAACCACGGAATACTACTCGAAATAGAATATTAACAATATAAACCGTTAATAATCAATAAGGCGGCGATAGCGGCGAAATCCCGGCGAAGTAGCGGCCAGCATTTCCCCGCCCGGCCGCCGCCACTTCGCCGCCCGGCCGCCGCCCGGCGGCCGGGCGGCGGAAACCCGGGAACTTCCCCTCTGTGCTGTACTTAGGCTTCGCTTGGCTTCAGCTTCGAACTCACATTTCGACAACATTGCATACACCCTAGCTTCACAATCATGCATCATCGAGATGACAACCTGTCCTTGGTCTTCCAGGTCGTGCTTTGTCTCTGCAGACTCTTTCCAGGCCGCCGTAGCCGCCACAAAGCTGGGCATCTGGAGAAATTTGTATTTTTAAATAAAGTAGAATTTTTATTTTAAAGTGGAGGTGACAGATTCATTAAGTCTTCTTAAACCCTTCGATTGTGCATACCTTTATTACTAGGGATTGCGGTTTATCAGCCGGATTCTCCCAGTGTAGACGAACACGCCGCATCGCCGACATGTAGCCTAGGGTGTCAGGGCCAAGACTGGCAACCTGAAGATGTTCAAATCCGGTAGGCTAGCAGAGATTTTTGGGGTAGGCTTGCTAATATACTAATGTATAATGCGATGGCAAACTAGCTGGGATTTTTCAGGAAAAGCAAATTCCAACCTCAGTGATCGTCGGCTTTTCATCAAAATGTGTCTCCAGCTCCTTGGCCAGCCAGGCTTTCGTTAGTGTGTTGCCCTCAACGAGGAGATCATCATCGTGGTCGGGCATCTGTTGTGAAATAAGATTAGGTTCGAAACGCAGTAACAGGCAGAAATTAGCAACAGAACCTATTCTAGGAAAATTAGGTGAGGCTGAGGCTTAGGTTAGGCTTAGGCTTAGGCTTAGGCTTAGGCTTAGGCTTAGGCTTAGGCTTAGGCTTAGGTTAGGCTTAGGCTTAGGCTTAGGCTTAGGCCTAGGTTAGGCTTAGGCTTAGGCTTAGGCTTAGGCTTAGGCTTAGGCTTAGGCGTAGGATTAGCAGGCATATAGGAACTATAAGCTTGATTTGGGTATATTAATGTGAGGAAGTGAGGCATATTCCCGCCACCTGACACCGCTTAAAATATTATCTTATCACTCACACTCCCCTGGTCTGCTCCGGCCTCTTGCCTCCTGATATTTTGTAGCCCCTAGAGTTGGCCGAGTTTTGGTATTGTCGTTAGCAAGCTAGCAGTGATTCCTAGGGAATTTTGATTATGTGAAATTAAACAAAATGGCAAAAATTTAGCAGTTACCAGGGTTGAAAAGCCGCTTTGCGACTTTTCAACCCTGGCCTTTCTTGTCCCACGTTATTCTTTGCTTTGAATAATTTTCCTAAATTTAGATGGATAAAAATGAAAAACTGCCCCTTCTCCCCCTCTATATAAGCGACCCCCGCTTCCGGTCTATGCTAATTACTTCCTAACAAAAGAGCTTTCACAAAAACTTAAATTTAATGTCGAAAATGGTTGATTTTGTAAAATTTGATATGTGTGCAGTCATCTCAAGACCATTGCGCACCTAATGACGTATCAAACATACCCGTAACTTCATCCCCTATCGAGATATCCCCCGGACAGACAGACGGAAGTGGATGCAAAGTGGCACACACACACAAACACACACACACACAGACTATTTTTTTATATATAGTAGGATTATGTGCTGCGACTTTTTGGATGTGTTCATATTTATCAAAACAAAAGTCGTGAGATCAATTAAAGGCTTTTCGATTAAAATGAGATCAGAGAAGGAGAAAGAGAGGGAGAGAGAGCGAGTGAGCGAGTGAGGGTGGAGAATGCACACATAAAAAACATTACGACATAAAAATCCAAGCTTCCTAGATCTGCCGGACCTTCTGGAAAGCGATTCCTCCGTTTGGCAGAGTGCCCATTCTCTAAAAATATGGATGTTAGAAGATTATTATTAATTTTATAGATTTTACTCTGTTTGGTCTTTATGCCTTAAATGCCCTTTAAAATCCACCCACTCTCATGATCACGAAGGCCTCGTCTGTCGGAAGTTGGCTCTCACTGGGCTCTTGAATAAACGGACCGAGAAGTCGGGTGGAGGATCTAAAAACATTTATTTTAGACCTGAATTATTTTGTATTAAACTTTCTTTTATTTTTAGCTAAAAATAGAAAATTTAAAATGAGAAAATAGAAACCCACTTTGCATAATACTCGCCGGGCTCGAGCTTCGAGAAAATGTAGTTGTTCAGGGCTTTTGGGATTGGGCGGACGCCAGGAAGACATGAGGGGTCAATGTCGAGCCTAAAAGCAGTGCAATATTGTCTTAAAGGAACGTTGAAGGGTGGATGTTATGGATTTTTATAAATTTCCGCTTCCAGCTACCTGAAAAACTTACGGATCAATCTCAAAATCCCCCGGATTTTCGGCTTGCCTTTCCGGTCTCCGGTTTTCCTGATCGGTCATCGGATCGTCCGGAATTGGCGAGTGCAGGTTGCGCATTTTTGTGAGGAATACGGTTGTTTGGAGGTAGATTTGGAGCAGGAGAATAGCTTTTGGAAGCTGAAAACTCAAATGGAAGATTAAGGAACCAGAAAAAAGGGTAATAGATCCTGAAATAATCCCTGCTAGCCAACTCTCTCCTCTTTCTCAACAATCTCTGCTAGCCTGCCCTCTCCACTTCCTCAACAATCTCTGCTAGCCTGCCTGTCCTCTTCCTCAACAATCTCTGCTAGCCTGCCTCAACCTGAAAGCCAAAAATTTGGGCAAGCTAGCAGAAAACCTTGAGGAACCCGAACCTAAACTTTTGGTAAACTGCAACAGTTTTTAAGGCATGCTAGCAGAGATCCTTTGTGGAAACTGAGCTCAGGAAAAATTTGAAAAGTCCGCTTTTCCAGCTGACTGATTTTGAGGTGGAGATGGGGCAACCGCAAAGTGAGGGTTTTTAAAGGGATGAGGAGGAGAGGGCGGAAGGAGTATGGGGTCGGATCGAGGTCACCACCCGGCTGTCGTGACCATCCTCTAACTAGGGGAAGACAAAACAAACTGAAGAGAGAGAGAGAGAAAGCGAGAGAGAAAGAAAGAGAGAGAGAGAGAGCCAGAACAAGGCTGGGAACGCGCAAAGTTTCAAACCTTCCCAGCTGCTTCGCGCCCGGAAACCTGGCTAAGAAATGAATCGGGTTGGCAGATGTTGAGAGGAAACTTTTGGAACCCCTGCGAAAAATCTGCCGAACTTTTGAATTTTTGCAGCTGGTAGGGTGTGAAACCCTTGCCCAAACCTACTAGGCTGGTATAAAAAAAAAGTTCCAAAAAGGCCTTTTAAAATATCAGCGCATTTCCTTTACGCCTGCTATCCCGTGCCACCTTCTTCAAGGAACTCTGCTAGCTTGCCCCGCATTCCCAGACCCTCATTCTTGACAAAAGCCCCGGAATTCCAGCGTTCCCTCGGCATCTTCATGACCCCGTTTTCTGAATGGCCGCTGGGTGCCTCGGAATGTGAGAGAAGTGAATAGTGATCAAAATATCCGATGCCATGGTATAAAAGTAGAGCAGATCGGCATTCCGACACAGCAATCCTTCCGGACCTCAATACCCTACTCACCTCAATATGCAAAAGTTGACTTCGGCGCTTCTGCTTCTCATTGTCGCTGTTGGAGCACGAGCTGGAGGTGAGCATTAGAGGGGAGAGGGCAGGCTAGCAGAGTTTCTTTAGGAAATCCATAATCGTTCTATTTTTAGCCATCCCGCACTACGGTAACGACCATCAGGATGAGAAATATGGTAATTTTTGCTTGGTTCTCTGATTTTTCACAACTTAAGTCTCTTCCTTAAACTAGACAAACCAAAAATATATTGATTTTCCGTTTTCAAAGCACTTTCAGACTCCAAATACGAGTCCGGGAGCCACCACGAGGAGGGCGCATACAAGTACGGCGGCTCGGGCAACTACGTGAAGGGCACGTCCTACGGCAAAACATGGGGTACGGTAGCAACCTTTCTGATACTATAGAATATCTAATTAAAACTAAAAAATTTTCCAGCTTGACCGAATCGACCATTTTTGTGAAAAAATATCCAAAGCCTAAATAATAAAAATTCTAGGCTCCGACTACAGCGACAAGAAGGAGTACACGCCTACCTACTATGGATACGGTAGGGATTCTGTTACTAAAGCGAGACTAAGATAAACTTAGCTTAGGCTTAGGCTTAGGCTTAGGCTTAGGCTTAGGCTTAGGCTTAGGCTTAGGCTTAGGCTTAGGCTTCAGCTTAGGCTTAGGTTAGGCTTACTTAGTCTTAGGCTTAGCCTTAGGCTTGGCTTAGTATCATTTCCCTTTTTCCAGGCCAGCAAGAGTACGATGGCCACGACAGCCACTACTACACCCCTCAGCACTACGACTCCCACCAGCAGCACCACGATCAGCATGAGTACTGTAGGTGTTTTTGCCATTTTTAGATTTTGACCTTAAAATTCGATTAATTATAATTTTTATCTAATCTTTAGCCCCCTACCAATCCTACTACGGCTCCTCCCACTACACCCCGTCTCACTACCAGGGTAAGTCAGATGAGCAGGGCAGGCTGGCAGAGGTGCTTGGGATTTCCGGGGCAAACTAGCAAGGATTTTTGAAGGATTCAAAGAAGCCAGAATAAGCTAGCAGAGATTATTTGGGGTTTCGAGACGCTTCGGTACGCTAACAGAGATTCTTAAGGAGCCAAGCTGGAATTCAACGTTTTTAGGCTACAATCAACACTACGGCTACGGCTATGAACAGCCCAAGTATGACAAATACGGTAGTTTAATTATCAAAAATGTCAATAACAATTTGTTTTAGAATACGGGCACTACGAGCCGCACCACGAGGAGCAGCAGCACTACTACGGATACGGACACCATTGAATCTCGTATCTGCTGCTGTGGATATTTTAGTGGAATAAAGTTATTAAATAGATTTGGTGGATTTATACCTTTCATACTTTTTTATAGCTTCATACTTGTTTATTATGTTTTACTAGGTGGTAGATGGGTTGCTGAACCTCTTGGCGCCGAACGGAGCAACAGATATTGAGCCTCGAAATATTGTCGTCGCGGGAGCGTCTTCTTTTTTGCGCTCGCTTTGGAAGATGATGTAGCTGAGGCTGAAAGGAAGTAAAATCTTTCTCTATCTCCTCTCTCTCTTTCTTGCTCCCTCTCTCGCTCTCTCTCTCTCTCCCACACAATCAGAAAATTCCAATTACCATCCCCCAAAACACATCAGCTGCCAGCTCGCAGTTGATAATAGAAATAATTGGAACGCCGTGTTTATATAAAATTGAACACACGTCGCTGTGATATTCATAATTATCGTCATCGTCATTTGGGTTACCATCTAAGTTGCAGTTTTTCTGTGCGTCTCTCTATCTCTAGTTCACTCTCTCCTCCCTCACTCTCCCTCACTCTCTCTTGCTCTCTCTCTCTATCTCTATCTCTACCTGTGCGGCGAGCCTGAACTGTTTCTTGAGGTCGCTCCTCTCCCGAGCAGTACTTTTTGCCTGGCTACGTCCCAATTCCTAAAGATTTTGAATGTATAAAATTTGAATATTACCCTTATTCGTTTCCTTAATAAAATAAAAATTAAAATATCGAAAATGCTCGTCAGTAGCAGCTCCGCGTAGCCGCCATATATCTAAAATGGAATGGGTAGGCGAGCAGAGATTGTTGAGGAGTGGAGGCAGGCTAGAGATTGTGGGAAGAGGAGAGGGCAGGCAGAGATTGTTGGGAAGAGGAGAGGGCGGCTAGCAGATTGTTGAGGGAAGAGGAGGGGCAGGCTAGCAGAGATTGTTGAGGAAGGGAGAGGGCAGGCTAGAGAGGAGGAAGGAGGCAGCAGCAGGTGTTGGGAAGGAGGGCGGCTGCAGAGATTGTTGAGGAAGAGGAGGGCAGGCTAGCAGGTGTTGAGGGAGGGAGGGGGCAGGCTGCAGAGATTGTTGAGGGGGGGGGCAGGCTAGAGATTGTTGGAAGAGGAGGGCAGGCTAGCAGAGATTTTGAGGAAGAGGAGGGGGCTAGCAGAGATTGAGAAAGAGGAGAGGGCAGGGCAGAGATTGTTGAGGAAGAGGAGGGGCAGCTAGCAGAGATTTGAGGAAGAGGAGAGGGCAGGCAGAGATTGTGGAGGAGAGGAGAGGGCAGGCTAGCAGAGAGTGTTGGGGAGGGGCAGGCTGAGATTGTTGAGGAAGAGGAGAGGGCAGGTTAACAGAAATCGTTAAAGAATTCCCCTTACCTGAACAATATTTATGTAAATTGGTCCGCATTCCCCGAGCTCAGAATAAAACATTGGCACCGGTTCTGGGTAAAATAACGGCCGACAGCCATCTAAAATAATAAAAATTTTTTTAATAAGGGAATTTACATATAAATAATGGAATTGCGGCGAGGATTGGATAGCCAAATAGCAGGGCATACTGTATGAAACGCCAATTTTCGAGATGTCGGTAGAATAGGCCATCAAATGCCACGGAGAAGAAGCGGTTGATGCCGAGCAGGATCTATGAATGGGTTTAGTATGCGGTTTTTAAATTTGCTGACTTTTGCCGTAAATACTAACGAAATCACAGAAAAGGACAGCGTCCCAAATGCATAGCTGAAGGCGGGTAGGTCGTATTCTAATTGCCTTAGAAGATGGGTTAAATTGACGTACCTATCAATCTTGCTGGCGCTCCCCTCTCCTCTCTCTCTCTCTCCTCTCTCTCTCTCTCTCTCTCTCTCTCTCTCTCTCACTATAGTACCACAAACCTACCAGACACAACTCGGTAAAGCCCAAAACAAATGGCACGCATTAATTACAGTAACCCCTAGAATATCCATCATACAGTAGTGCTGGACGATGCCTGAATTTGCATTATACGAAAATTAGCATAAACACCTGTCAAGTATGAACATCTCCATACTATCCACATGGCGTAGAGACCGGCGACGGTGCCGAGGAAACCAAGCTAAAAAGCTGGGCTTAGGCTTAGGCTTAGGCTAGACTAAATATTTTCTTAGAGCTTTCTTACCCCTCCCATGATGATAATCTCGAACTCGTACTCGGAAATTTGCATAGAGCGTCTGAAAAACAAATGTTAAAATTAGGTTTACTTATAAAATGAGGCTTTACGATAATTCAATGTTCGGAGGATGCAAATTTATTAAATTCGTACGCGAAAAAAGCTTCCTGCCGCCCTTTAGCATTATTTTGCGCGCCCGGAAAAGTCAGAGTGGCCGGCGCGAAATTAGCAATTACCGGGTGCTCGAGTCGAGTCGCCGAAAAATGAAGGCGGAAATTTGGACGCGGCACCGGAAATACATATAGCGTTCGCCCGATGGGGGGGACATTTTAGGAAGTAGTTCTTTGTCGGGGCGGCCAATGTGTCAATTGGTTTTACGCGGAAATTGCGGGTGGGGGGCTTTGAGCAATATACAGACACGTGGAATGGCACGTTTTGAATGGGATCGTTATGTGAATTGTTTTGAACAAACCGGGGCAGGCTAGCAGAGATGCCTTTGGAATGCTTAAAGGGAGGGGGCTTATGCTTACGCTTAGGCTTCAGCTTCAGCTTAGGCTTAGGCTTACGCTTAGGCTTGGTCTTGGTTTTGAGCTTAGGTCCAGGCTTAGCGAGGCAAGCTAGCGGGGATTTTTGAGGAATCGAGATGCTAGCTAGCAGGGACTCTTCGGAAATTTGGAATTAAACAATACAGCTGAGCTATTAAAAGACTTTTAACGGCCTAAGCAAGCCAGCAAAGATTCTTGAGGAAACACTGCCTCAGGAAGTTGAAATCTCGATGTAAAACCTTTAAGAATCTAGTCTATAAAAATAAGAAACTACGATTTGCCGTCACCCATACCCTTTTCTACTCGGCAATTTACATAACCCGGGGTTTGCTAGCTATTTAATTCGCGGGTTCAAACCACGCAAAACTTTTTCGAAAATCACTATAATTTTTATTGAGGACACTAATTAGGGGGAAGCGGAACGCGATCGAAAAAAGGATGGGTTTAGATAGGGCAGGAAGTACAGGGTGTCCAAAAAAACCCCCCCCCCTAATCTCCCCCGTCGATTCCTATTTTCCCCTTTTTTTTTTTTTTTAAAAACCTCCAAAGAAAAAAAAAAAAAAAAAGGAGGTTTTTTTTATTAATTTTTTTGCGTACTTTTAATAGCCATGGAGACTGCTATTTAGGCTTGCACAGGCCGAGACCTAGGCTTGGCCTGCTTAAGCTGGACCTAGGGGGGTTTGGAACCCTTATGGGGAGGCTTTTAGGCTCAGGCTTAGGCTTAGGCTTAGGCTTAGAAGGTTTGGGCTTAGGCTTAGGCTTAGCTTGCTTAGGTTTAGGCTTAGGCATAAAGACATTCTACAGTTCCTGAACCAGACTGCTTGAATTCCGGGTCCAACACGTTCGCGGCCTCAAATAACTTTCTCGCAAGGTGCAAAGTATTTTTTCATAAGCTAAAATTCCGGGTTCAGACCCCGAATTTTGTTAATTTTATGCCTCTGGGGACCTGATATTTAGCCCCCAGAATTCCGCGATACTCCTAACGAGAATCGGTTCTTTGGAAGCATCACGTGTAATTTTTGACGGTGTTTTTTTGTTACAGTGTAGTTAGGGGATTCAAACATCAAACCGCCGCTTCCCAAAAGATCTCTGCTAGCTTGCCCGGAACCATGGCGTTCCCAAATGTTCTCTGCTGCCTTGACAAGGATCCCAAAGATTCCGGGGCACAGGTCACACACATTACAAAATCTTTGCTTACCCTACCAGTGTTTTTTTTGGCTTATGCTTAGCCTTCGTCCTTTGATTCCCAATAGATAGCGGTCTCCTTTAAAAGTGTCGGCTTTTTGCCTATGTTCCTGCCTTTTGCCTGTTCGGCCGTCTAATTCCTGCCCCCCCCCCCATAGCGCCTGGGGAAGGGATTACGGTCTGGCCACCGTGAGGGGGATCGCAAAAACGCGTGTGTTCGCTCCAGTGTCCGCAATGTTCCTAACGACATATAAGCCGCGCAAGCGTCCCTCTCATTTCCTTCCCATCCGCTAGTCTTTGGCCAAAATGACGCGACTCGGGCTACTGTAAGTTGAATATTTGGGTAAATTTTGGTTTTCAATTTTCATTGATAAGTCGAGAGCGTTTATGAATCTTCTAGAAAGGAGAAAATAGCTAGATCTAAAAATTGCTCAAAAATTTTTAATTTTTTATGGTTGTCGTGCTCTTTTCGTTCCCTGAGTATACGCTGCACTAATGGTGCTTTTCAGGGTATCCTGCTTTATCCTGACGGCTTCTGGCTACTATTTGAGCAGCGGAACGGTGAGTCGCCCTCAAAAATCTCTGCTAGCCTGCCCTCTCCTCTTTCTCAACAATCTCTGCTAGCCTGCCCTCTCCTCTTCCTCAACAATCTCTGCTAGCCTGCCCTCTCCTCTTCCTCAACAATCTCTGCTAGCCTGCCCTCTCCTCTTCCTCAACAATCTCTGCTAGCCTGCCCCTCTCCTCTTCCTCAACAATCTCTGCTAGCCTGCCCTCTCCTCTTCCTCAACAATCTCTGCTAGCCTGCCCTCTCCTCTTCCTCAAAAATCTCTGCTAGCCTGCCCTCTTCTCTTCCTCAACAATCTCTGCTAGCCTGCCCTCTCCTCTTCCTCAACAATCTCTGCTAGCCTGCCCTCTCCTCTTCCTCAACAATCTCTGCTAGCCTGCCCTCTCCTCTTCCACAACAATCTCTGCTAGCCTGCCCTCTCCTCTTCCTCAACAATCTCTGCTAGCCTGCCCTCTCCCCTTCCTCAACAATCTCTGCTAGCCTGCCCTCTCCTCTTCCTCAACAATCTCCTGCTAGCCTGCCCTCTCCTCTTCCTCAACAATCTCTGCTAGCCTGCCCTCTCCTCTTCCTCAACAATCTATGCTAGCCTGCCCTCTTCTCTTCCTCAACAATCTCTGCTAGCCTGCCCTCTCCTCTTCCTCAACAATCTCTGCTAGCCTGCCCTCTCCTCTTCCTACAACAATCTCTATAACTACCCTGCCCCTCTCCTCTTCCCTCAACAATCTCTGCTAGCCTGCCCCTCTCCTCTTCCTCAACAATCGCTGCTAGCCTGCCCTCTCCTCTTCCTCAACAATCTCTGCTAGCTTGCCCTCTCCTCTTCCTCAACAATCTCTGCTAGCCTGCCCTCTCCTCTTCCTCAACAATCTCTGCTAGCCTGCCCTCTCCTCTTCCTCAACAATCTCTGCTAGCCTGCCCTCTCCACTTCCTCAACAATCTCTGCTAGCCTGCCCTCTGCTCTTCCTCAACAATCTCTGCTAGCCTGCCCTCTCCTCTTCCTCAACAATCTCTGCTAGCCTGCCCTCTCCTTCTTCCTCAACAATCTCTCGTAGCTTGTCTCTCTCTCTCTCTTCCTCAACACCCCTGCTAGCCTGCCCCCTCCACTTCCTCAACAATCTCTGCTAGCCTGCCCTCTGCTCTTCCTCAACAACCCCTGCTAGCCTGCCCCTCTCCTCTTCCCTCAACAATCTCTGCTAGCCTGCCCTCTCCCTCTTCCTCAACAACTCTGCTAGCCTGCCCTCTCCTCTTCCCTCAACAATCTCCCCAGCCTGCCCTCTCCTCTTCCTCAACAATCTCTGCTAGCCTGCCCTCTCCACTTCCTCAACAATCTCTGCTAGCCTGCCCTCTCCTCTTCCTCAACAATCTCTGCTAGCCTGCCCTCTGCTCTTCCTCAACAATCTCTGCTAGCCTGCCCCTCTCCTCCTCCTCACCAATCCCTGCTAGCCTGTCCCTCCTCTTCCCTCAACAATCTCTGCTAGCCTGCTCCTCTGCTCTTCCCTCAACAATCTCTGCTAGCCTGCCTCTCCTCTTCCTCAACAATCTCTGCTAGCCTGCCCTCTCCCTTCCTCCACCAATCTCTGCAAAGCCTGCCCTCTCCCTCCTCAACAATCTCTGCTAGCCTGCCCTCTCCTCTTTCTCAACAATCTCTGCTAGCCTGCCCCTCTCCTCTTCCTCAACAATCTCTGCTAGCCTGCCCTCTCCTCTTCCTCAACAATCTCTGCTAGCCTGCCCTCTCCTCTTCCTCAACAATCTCTGCTAGCCTGCCCTCTCCTTTTCCTCAACAATCTCTGCTAGCCTGCCCTCTCCTCTTCCTCAACAACTCTGCTAGCCTGCCCTCTCCTCTTCCTCAACAATCTCTGCTAGCCTGCCCTCTCCTCTTCCTCAACAATCTCTGCTAGCCCGCCCTCTCCTCTTCCTCAACAATCTCTGCTAGCCTGCCCTCTCCTCTTCCTCAACAATCTCTGCTAGCCTGCCCTCTCCTCTTCCACAACAATCTCTGCTAGCCTGCCCTCTCCTCTTCCTCAACAATCTCTGCTAGCCTGCCCTCTCCTCTTCCTCAACAATCTCTGCTAGCCTGCCCTCTCCCTCTTCCTCAACAATCTCTGCTAGCCTGCCCTCTCCCTCTTCCTCAACAATCTCTGCTAGCCTGCCCTCTCCTCTTCCTCAACAATCTCTGCTAGCCTGCCCTCTCCTCTTCCTCAACAATCTCTGCTAGCCTGCCCTCTCCTCTTCCTCAACAATCTCTGCTAGCCTGCCCTCTCCTCTTCCTCAACAATCTCTGCTAGCCTGCCCTCTCCTCTTCCTCAACAATCTCTGCTAGCCTGCCCTCTCCTCTTCCTCAACAATCGCTGCTAGCCTGCCCTCTCCTCTTCCCAAAAAACCTCTGCTAGCTTGCCTCTTGATCTTCGAATTTTAGAGAATCATTTTTGGAAAAAATAATTTGATGAAAAATTACAGTAATTCGAATTTAGGCTCTAAAAATCCACATTCAGGGCAATGGACGATACTTCGCGACGGCTCCGATACAAACCTTCCCAGCCCCTCTACCAACATATCTCTCCTTCGGACCGACTCCGCAATATTACTACAGCCACCCTACCATACCCCTAAAGCCTGTTGCAAGCTATTATGCAACTGCCGGAGATACGGTAAACCCGCTACCACCTCTCCCGGAGCCGGTCTCAATCCATCAGCACCAAGAAGCATCGCCTACGACATTTACCATGGCCGACCCTCGGAATCCTACCGTAACCTTGACGCAACCAATTCCAGAGGCGATTATGTTGAGGAATGTTCAAATGGATGCCGAGCCTACGGTGGCTCATGCTCAGACACAGAGGCCGTTGAGGATCAACTTCAAAACGACGCAGGTGAGAGGTTTTTAGAGCTTTAAAGGGGTGGTGACAGCTGGAAATTCGAGGTTTCCGGCTGTCACACTTCCTTTAAAATTCTAGGTTTTTCTAGAATTTATTTCTGGCTGAATTTAAATCTAGTAATTCTTTCCGTAACTGTCTATGCGCTTTTAAAAAAATCTAGGTTGTTTAGTGGCTCTGTCAGGGGCTTTTAAAGGTACAGTGACACCTGGAAATTCGAGGTTTCCGGCTCACACTCCCCTTAAACCTCGAGGTTTTTTATGTTCAGCTTCGCTTTTTTCAGCATCCTCAAAAGGTGAAGGTGACGAAGAAGCCGTTGTTGCCAAGTAAGGATTACGAGTAAACGCAGACTAAGCCTAAGCCTAAGCCTGCCTAAGTCCAAGCCCAAGCCTAAGCCTAACTTTAGCCCCAATTTAGGAGTCATCCCTCACTTCTCCGTCGTGAAAATCAACGTCTCCGGCCCCGGAAAGGTCCTCCAAACGGCTCCAATTTGCATAACTTGCAAAGGAAAATAACGACCCCCTAATTGATGTAAAAACACAGATTTTCACGTATTTATATGTATTTATTGTCTCCTCATTTTATTTGTTTGACCTATGCAATGCTCTAACAAAAAGAGCAGACAAATATTTATTAGCCAAATTATGGCTAAGTTGTTGTTATTTTATGCATAAAGTTTCAAAAACATGCGAAAATTAATTAACAAACATTTACAGTATGATTTTTAAAATTTGCATTTTATAAAATTTATTTTAAAATTCGTCGCAAAATTCCAAAAGCGAGTGCTTCTCACGTTGATTTTTGAAATCTGCATATAAAACTGCGCCATACTATGCTTCAGAATTATTTTCCAGGCGAGAGAGTGGAGAGACAGCGGAGAGAAAAGAGAAAGGAGCAGGCTAGCAGATATCATTTGCCTGCCATGCTTAGGCTTTAGGTTAGGCTTAGGCTTAAGATTAGCCTTAGGCGTAGACTCCGATCCTCCGTTCGTCATAATCAGGTTCCGGTAAAAAACGTAATATTGCCGGCAACAGTCATCCACTCCATGTATGAAACATGACCCCCCCCCGTGGATTCGATTCGTCATATTTGTCGGCGCGTAATATTCGTTGTTACGAGGGGCCAGTGATGCAACATATCGTCGAGCACTTCCCTCCCCTTAGTGTGTCTCCTCTCTTTTCGTGTCCGTTTATTTGTTTGTCTGCCATTTTGTACGTCTCTTTGTCCGCCTGCTGCCGCGTTTTGCCACCTGAAGAGGCCGGGCAGAGGTGTGAGAATACACGCGTGTGTATCGTATTTGCGCGTAGTCGCCGGGCCCGTGTGTGCATGGCCGGATTTTTGCTGCGGGTAACCCCGCAGCAAGGGGGTGGCGTGCGTGCGCTTGTTTGCGCTTCCGCGCCGAGAGAGAGGGAAAGAGAGACATAGAGAAAGAGAGGGAAGGAGAGAGAGAGGGAGAGAGAGAGCGAGAGAAGACAGACAACCCCAAAAAAGTTGCGATTGACTATAGTTGAGCCGGGTATTTTTAAGGAACCAACAAGCAGAAAATTGAGGGTACCCCGACCGAGCGAGAGAGAGAGAGAGAGGAGAGAGAGTAGGGAGAGAGGAAAGCGGAAAAATACGGCTAAGAAATTTTGTTGCGTTATTAACGAATTAAAATAGCCAAATCGATACGAAGGCAGGCTAGCAGAGACCATTTCCTGCTAGCTTACCAATAAAATTTCAAGGGCACGATAGCAGAGATTTTTGAGGAATATACTCCTGGGCTAGCTAGCAAAGGTTTTTGAGGAAAGAATTTGTCAGCTCGTTTGAGAAGCAGCGTATTGGCTATCTAGCAGAGACCATGTAGGAAACATCCCCATAGGCTTGAGCAAGCTAGCAAAGGTTCTTTGAGAAAAGTCTCGTCCATCCGTGGCGGCAGGCTAGCAGAGATCTTTGACCCTCCTCCCCCCAACCGGTCATTTCCCGGTACCCACTTTTTCTGCAGAACCTTTGTACCCAGTTCAGGGTCGCCCGAGCGGGCTAGCAGCATTTTTTGAGGGCACGTCCCGGCTTAGTAGGGCCCGGGCGCGCGAGCGCCCGGGCATTAAGCCATGTTGTGACAATGGCTTCCGGAGACTGGTCCCGCGTGGAAACGCTGCGCGCGGAATTGTTTGGGAGAGTGCTCTCTCACTCACTCTCTCTCTCTCTCCCACTCTCTCCTGGCCCTTAACCTGTGACCCCCGTGGCTGGTTCCCACCTAAAGGGCGGACCAGGAGGCGTGAATTTGATACGGTATATAACTGGGGGCTTCTGTGGGCCCGCGCCCTGGGACCCAGTTCCGCCACACTACCCCACAAACACGACGGCACAATGCGCGAAATGGGATGGATTTTTGGGTGGGTTCGAGTTTTGGGTTTTGTTTGAAACCGGTTTCATCAACAATCTCTGCTAGGCTGCCTTCTCCTCTTCCACAAGAATCTTGGCTAGATTGCCTTCCCTGATAATCTCTGCTTGCTACCCCGTCCTAATTTATCCACAATCAGTACCAATTCCGCGAAGAATCTCTGCTAGCTTGCCTTAATACTTCTCCTTTCAGCCTCGCCCTCTTCGCTACAGTATCCGCCGGGGTCCCCGGCGGGATTCCCGGCCGATATTTTGTGGAAGCCGGCAAGCCGCTCATCACCCATGCTTCAGCGCCGCTTTTGGAGCCGGTAATGCCAGGTAGGGAGAGAGAGAGAGAGAGGGATGGAGAGAGAGCGAGAGGGGAAATTATTTGGATCATTTTTAAGGCTCTTTTTTAGTGGCTCCTCCTCCACCCCCAATGCCAGTCCTCGCCCCACTTCCCCCGCCGCCGCTGGAGGTATAACAATTTCGGAATCAAAATTAAAAGCCAATTTAAGCGGTGCTTCATTTATGATCATTGATGTATCAGTTGATTTAGTAACATTGATATTAACTCGAGTTTTTCATTTATTTTTAGGTATTCGCGCCTCCACCACCTCCGATTTATGCCGCGCTGCCCCCACCTCCGCCACCGGCTGAGGTCAGCAAAAATTTGCAGAAAATGATTTTAGGAAAAAGGTGAAATTTATCAAAAAAGCACAACAAAATTAAGATATAAAATAGGTTGACGCTATGCAAATTTAGTTCATCGCCCCTCCAATGTACGCGCCAGGACCTCCCCCACCGCAAGAGGTAAGGTTTCTCGCTTGCAAGTGTCGTTAAATTAATTTATCTCTCGCCCTCTCTCTCTCCTCTCTCTCTCTTTCTCTCTCTCTCTGTTGACTTTACTTTTAGTTCATCGTTCCACCACCACCAATGTACGCGCCACCACCTCCACCACGAGCACTAGAGGTTACCTTTTCTAATCTCTTCCCATCAGTCCTAATTTTTAATTTCTTCAATTTCTTGCTAGATTTTTTGGTCTTACTACAAACTACAACATGTAAAAATATTTCTAGGCCCCTCCACCGCCTCCGATGTACGCTCCGGCTCCAGCTCCCGCCCCGTTTCCGGCTCCTTACCCAGCTGCTACAGTATCCCTGACCGCTCCGGGACCAATTCCGGCCGCTCGGCCGCTTTTGGCACCTCCTCCACCACCGCCAATGCAGGTTAGCGGTGATTTTTGGCTTTAGTGGTCCTTGAAAACATTTCCTTAAAAATATCTGCTAGTCCACCCCATTCCAGCCCGACTACCTGATGCCGTTCAACGAGGGCCTGCCGGCACCGGTTCCGGAATTCCTGCCCCCTCCGGTCTACGCTCCTCCGATGCGTGTCTCCGTTGCGGGACCCCCCTCCACCTCCTCCTCCACCTCCAGCTCCGCCCGCGTACTACCCAGCTCCACCACCTCCAGCGCCGATGCCGATGCTTGCTCCTAGGCCAGTGCCGGCGTTGGCTCCGGCACCACTTCCGGTACCGCTTCCAGCCATGGCTCCGCTTCCAGCAGGTAAGAGATGGTAGCGTAATTAGCACACCACAAGTTTAAGGTTTTAAAAATCAAGCGATACTTTAAATTACAGTACTCCCGCGGCCGGCCCCGTTCCCCGAATTCATCGAGGGCTCCGTGATCGCGCCGGGACCCGCGCCCCCAGCCCTACCGTACCCCGGAGGTCCCCATGTCCCCTCGTTCGCCGAATTCATGGCACCCCAATTCTCCAATGCTCCGTATCTAGCCCCCTATGCTCGAATGAGGGCCCGCATGATCAAGCACCGCAATGCGAAACGAAACTAGGCCGGAAACTGGGGAGATAATTACTTCAAAAACTAAATTATGATATTTAATTTAATTTATTTCATATCAACGAAATTGTAAGTATTCAAATGTTAAATATGTATGTTTTTGTTTAAAAAAATACCGTAATTTTGTAGTCACATTAATCAAATACATCGCTATGCCTTGATTTAGTTTTAATGAGATTTTAAAGATCAGAAATCCTGAATTTTTGAAACAGCAATTTGCATTTGGCTACATGAAAATAGAAACCAGAAAAACTTATTTAAACTTTATCATCTTCTTATTGACAATCAGATTTAAATGTTATTCAATTTTTGAAAAGTTAAAATCTCGACATTTTATAAAATTACGAATTCGTGATATTTTAAAGAATAGACGCCTACCGTGGCCATATCGTAAAAAATTATTCTAGTCTAGACCTTTATTTATTATATGTAAAGTATCATATTTCCTGCAAAGTATTGTATAATTTATTAACTTCTCCTCCCATTAACCTCTAATCAATTTCTGTTATCCCATACACATATCAGTTGCAAGCCGGTGCTCTGTATTTTCTCGAAATTTCTTTTTGTGCTAATTTAATGAAATAAATATTGAAAATTATCTATAAGTCTTATTTACGCAAAAAATACAGCAATAAGCAAGCAGAAATAAGAAAAAGCAAGCCTATGCTTAGGTTAAGCTTAGGCTTAGGCTTTAGGCTTCGGCTTAGGTTTAGGCTTAGGCTTGAGCTTGGGTTAGGCCTACCTGGTCAATCTCTTTAAAACGGGCCACCCACGCTAAAATGGAACTCTCGCCCCAGAATCTAATCACGCCATAAATTCCCGGCCATTTTTGGGAGCATTGTGGAATTTTTTTTGGGTTTTCGGTTTTGCGTAGGTTGTGATTCAAATCCCCGATACGATTCAAAAAATGGAGATGGTCACTTTTATGAGGGTCCAAGTTTTAGAGGGGCCTTACAATTCTGGTATTTGTCAAGAGTTGGCCCGGGGTTGTATAAAGGAATGGCACGGAATGGTAGAAAGTATTCCAAATCCAAGGTTCCGGGTTACTGCAGAATGGCAAATCGACAATTTTTCTTCTTTTTCTTCTTCTTCTTCTTCTTCTTTTTCTTCTTCTTTTTCACATCGATTTCGGGTTGCCCGCCCGGAACTGGTAAGTTAAAGTTGCGTAAGCTAGAATGGAAGGTGAAATAAATTACCTAAAAATGGGCTTCAACTCGGTTTTTAAATACGCGAACAATATTTTTGAGCGAAAATTCCTAAAATACTTACATCTAAATTAAATTGGGTAAGTTGGAAAGTTAGATTTTTGAAATTTGATTGGCCTTAAAATTTTAAGGACCCCTCTCCGCGGCCCCGACGTTCAGCTACAAAGTGCAGCCGCCGGTGCGCTGGACCTACCGTAATTCACGAAGATAAATTAGAGTTTTTGGAAATTTTAGAAAACGGAGCTGGAGTTGTGGTGTTCCCGGGCCAACCCGTGACTCTCGACGTGGCCAAGGCCAATTTTGAGGACGATCTGGAGTTGGCGGTAGGTGTTTGAGAGCCGGTAATGCTAGGTAACGACAGAGAAAGGGAGAAGAGAGAGAGAGTGAGTGAACGAGATGAGAGAGAGAGAGCGAGAGAGCAAGTTCTTGAATAATTGAATCATTTCTTAAACGTCTAGGTCTACCACGCGCTGACCAAGGAGGGCATACCCACCGGATACGCGGAGAAGTTCACGCATTCCGGAGTAACACCGCCGCTGCTCCCGCTTGTTCCCATTGACGAGTGTGACCGCGACCTTGTGGACGTAAGCTTTCGGAAAGAAATACTAGCAAAATTTTACGAGGTCGGCTGTCAAATCGAGTCCTGGCTCTTCTCTAGGTCTTGTTGATCCTTCCCCATCCCGATTTTTTGGGAGGGCTAATTATGGACATCTTGCAGGGCGAGGCCGGCGTCGATGGCAAGACGGTTACCACGGTGTGCAGCACTCAAGCTGCTCTAACGCTAAGTGGATCGATTAAGGTATATATTGGGATCCATTTATTTATGACAACTTCCAAACTCAGGTGAATTCCGTGGTAGCGATGGCCGAGAGTGTCTGGATCGAGCTTGGGAAATTGGTATGGAAATAACAATTGTCGTCGAGACATCATGTTTTAGATCCAAGCCGAACTCGTGAAGAAGGGGGCGCTGTTTGTCGATGATTTCGTCGTAAAGCTATGAGCCGGAAATGAGCATTAATAGACGAATAAAGTTATTCCCATCGATAGCTCGTGCATCCCTGTCTCACCGATTCCTTTAAGAGGCCAAACAGTTCCCATCTAATGAGAAGGAGAGCGAAAGAAGAGAGAGAGAGAGAGAGAGAGAGAGAGAGAGATAGGGAGAGAGAGGGAGCAGAGAAAGAAAGAGAGAGCGTGAGAGAGCAAGAGGGGAGGAGAGAGGGGAGTGAGTGAGAGAGAGAAAATGGAAATTTTCGTAGAAACGCCATGCCACTATCCTTTTACTGACTTCATAGCGCCCTGAAAAGCCGGAAAATCCAAAAATCAATCAATATTAAAGGGTGTATGAGAAGCTGCACGAGTTCTTTTTCGTCTTCTCAATCCGCTTTAAAGCCCCCAATCCGAAATAGCCGGAAGAGAAACGTAGCAAGACATCAGCGCAAATAATACAGCAAGCGCTGACTCCTAAATAGCACCGGAGCATTGTCGCCTCCTGCGGCTGTTGCTCACGCAAGAGGAACAAGCTGTAAAAGTGCGCGGGCGGTCCGACGATGAAATGAAAAAAGAAACGGAAAGACGTTTCTGAGCGCAAAAAAACGGGCCTGAGATCCGTATAAAAAGCCGGGTCGGGCTTGTGGGAATCATATTACGGTTGGCAGCTTTTTTCGCATTCTACAGTATCCCCTAGCTACAGTATGTATTTGCTACTCGTACTTTTTGGAGCTGCCCTGGCTTGCGGGCCGATTGGACCTGAAGGCGGTAAGTCTAAAAGAATCGTGTTGACATGCTTAATGTCAAGCTTCCCTAAAGCTCGCTAAAAGTATGGAAAATTTCCTATCGACTTGCGTGAGTCTAGTTCTCACCCTCCCTTCAAAAGAATCATTTTTTGGGGGAGGTCTAGGCGGATTAATATAGTTTTAATCGGATTAATATATAAAATCGCCTGTATATCGTCCGCTCTCCTACCCGCCTGAGAAAAGTGCCAGGCTGTCATGCTCCCTTTGCAGTAACGTGGAGCCAGAGAGCGAAGAGTTAGCGCCGACTAACATTGTACTCGCCACACTATGAACTAGCTTAGCTTTTCCACTTCCCTCTCGCGCCTAAAGCCAGCCTGTGAGCCAAAGCCGCCTAAAGCCAGAAGAGGCTATGAGGCTATGAGATCTGCGAATCCTCCGGTTATCATTGGATTGAACTCTTGATAACGACAGTTGCGCGCGCAACGTCTGCTGAATCCGACAAAATTTCGTGAACCTAGGTAACAAGTGGATTCCTGCTTGTGCAATCTCTTTGAGAGCTACGGGACTATCCGTTAAATTTAGCCCTGGTGACGAGAGCCGAGATTTCGTTGGAACTGCAACCCTCTGTCGGGTGGACCTACAACCCGACGGATCCCGGTGCTGGCGGACAGGTTCATCCTTCGAAAGTGGCCCCCAACTGCTTTTTTTAGGCAGATGACGAGCCCGATGCAAGGGCAAATGTTCTTGATGGCTTGGAAGTTTCGGTTTGTCGATAGCAGGAATTACTGCAGCCCATAAATTACATAGCAATACACGGATTTAAGTATTTTAATCCGTTTAGCTGTTCCGCGCGATGGCCAGCATTGACCCGTTGTTAGAGCTCAAGGAGATCTCGAGCAGTTTTCCCGACTTACCGTTGAAGGCGGTCTACGCGGAAGACTGTGCCAACCCTGACCCGCTTGCCAGTCAGTTTTGGTGGATTAGCTACACTTAAAACTTGTTTATAGTACTCGTTGGCGATGGCGGCTTTGTGGACCTTTGCGGCCCCGTCAGACCCGCGCTTGCTCCAGGTATGAGATATTTGAGGTTTTCCGGTTTTTAAAGGGATCAGACAATCGAAAGCTTTTTACCTCACAAACCTTTATAGGTTCCATCGAAATCCAATTTGTTACGCCCATTACCGAGACGATGTTCGGAGAAATCATTGATGCGGTAAGAGTTTACATGATTTTCAGAAACCAATCAAAAAATTAGATGCTGACGGAGCTGGCGAAGCGGCGGGCAAAGTCCAGCGGGGAGGTCATCAAATACTTTGCCTGAATTAGACGTTCAATCAATGTAAATTATCGAAATAAATATTGTGTGGGTATTTCGAAATAAATCACGTCTGTTTACAAAATACGCTGACACATATTAACGAATTTCAAAAAGGCATAATACTTCAAATTAAAACGGTACTCAACTTAGCATCCACAAGCAGGTCTTTCAGTTAAATACTTAGTACAAAAAAATCGCCCTCTACCCAAATTCCGTTAAAACTTAAAGTTCACTTGC